TTAAATGCAAACCATGCTCTGAAACTCTCCCTGGACAGATGTAATAGGACCCATTATCCAGAAATAAATATCTCTTTGATATCCCCAGGGTCAAACTTAATCTGTGTAAACACTCTATGCAAATTAAGGGACCTAGTCTATGGAACTCACTCCCTAGTGAATTGAAAAACTGTAAAACTTTTGCCTTATTTAAAAGCAAAACCAAAAAGTACCTAACTTCATCTTCTTAGTTTCCTACACTAAGCTTTAAATTTGCTCTGTACCTAGTGTTACCCAATCTCCTAATTTTTATGTAATATCAAACAACCTTATCATTGTGTTCATTGCTGTCTTCTTTTATGTGCTAGCCATATGCTGTATTGTGACTACCAATTTTTGTCATCTACCATTCAAGCTGTCATTGCAATCAATCTTATATTGTTTCTGCTGTATTGTGCCTACCAATTTGTTGTCAACTACCATTTTAAGCTGTCATTGCAATCAATCTTAGCTACCTATGTGCTTTAATATACTGTACCTACAATTTTCTCTCATCTTTTTTTTTTTTTTTTTTTTTTTTTTCATTTCATGTAATCTGTTATCATTTTTTGTCTATAAATTTTGCAAGTATTTACCTCCTTAAAATTTTCTTAGATTAAGGCCCTGCACGAAACGCTGCGCGTGCTAGTGGCTTTACAAGACTGTAATTACCATATTTGTATCCTCACATTCCTTATGTACATTCTTGTATATGCATAAATAAATAAATAAATTAACAAATTACCACACAAAATACCACTAACGCCATCTCTATTTTTTTCCAACGCACTATAAATAGCCAAACAGCAACCCATAAGGCGGGTTGTTGTGCTCGGGTAGGAAGTTCCTAGCTCCGCCCACAAGTAGTATGGGGTGCATAATCAATGGCATATCATTGGTAGATATTCTTTGTTGACATTCACACAACAGCCAATCACAGGAAGGGATCAGCTATAGGTGCCATCCACTTAGTAAATTATCTTAGTTCAGCCCACCAGTCATGCTTATGAAACTCTGATTTAACTTTAATTTACCCAAAAAGTGAAGTGTTAATTATTTAAAGTGTTAATAAAGTGATAATTAAATATTGCAGGATATAACAAATGTTATATAAAAATGGGCTGGCTACCAAACTTGAGACGTTATTATTGGGGGTTGCCTTGACACAAATAATGATACTCTGCTCTGCCCTCTTATTTGAGTAAATTATTCAGTTAGATGGAGATTTCTGTCAGGTGCAAAACAGAAATTGTTGTTCTTTTTCACAACAACCTTGTTGTTGTGCACAAGGACCTATTTCTTAGTTACAATTGTATTCATAAAAGAGTGTTGGTATTCCCCGCAACAGCCAATCACAGGAAGGTATTTCTGGAAGCTCCGCCTCCTTATGGACTCAACATATCGCTCTAGCTCATGGCTCTCTGTTTAATCTCTTGTATATACGGAATAACACGACAGTAGGAACTTGAATTGCCTATATAGTAGATTTAAATTGTTTTATGATTACAACTTTTAGGTCTAAATAACAATATGGTACTACTCTTTACTATTTGAGGTATTACTTAATATCGTCATCTCACAGTAAGCTTGGCCATACAGGCTCAACATCTTAAACAGACGAAACAACCACCATTATCATATGATAATTATAATTATCATAATTACGAATAATTATCATATAATGATAATTACATCAACATATCAGCATTAAAATCGGTGTGCAATTCGGGTTTTGGCCTCCACCACTTAATAACGGCGATTAAAGTTGGGAAATCTACCGCCCCTGGGGAGGATGGAGTAACTTAAGATGGGAATATTAGATGAAATTATAGCTAGTTTTTTTTTTATCTACACACTGTAATCTTTCATATAGAATAAGGTAGCAGACATTGCTGTGTATACCCAAGCTTGTTAATAAAAAAATAGTACACTCATGGACAATTTTGTATACACGAACCCTTTCGTATATATGCGAAATCGTATGCGCTGGCTCGTGTTCGCTGTTGTTCTCGTCTTCCAAAAAAGACAATAAAATTACCAAAAAGAAGGCAAAAGAAGCTGGTAATGTTAAGAATTGGAATAAATAGATGACACAATATCATATAATTAGCGCATGTCTTCAAATAATAAGTAAGTTCGGTTCTTTTAATTTATCATATACAATTTAACGAATAAATAGGCTTTCCTGCTTTAACATCTATATATTATGATAATCACATGAACCTATTAACAATGTTTTGGCCTCCACCACCTTCTGACTAGTTCCAACCGTCTACCAATGTTTGCAAGAGTGGACTTTCTAATGTTTGTTCGGCAGATTTATTTCCATAGTTTCCGAACTGTTTTCTTTAGCTTGTATGTTGTAATAAACTATTTCTACATTTACAGTTGTTCCTCCTTGTGAACAGTCTTACAAAATGTTGCTTGTAAGGTCGGGGAAGTATATATATATATATATATATATATATATATATATATATATATATATATATATATATATATATATATATATATATATATATAATGATAAAGCAAACCTTTCCTCTATGTATGAGGTCAATTTTTTTTATTGGAGTTAAAATTAACGTAGATATATGACCGAACCTACTAACCCTATATAATATATATATATATATATATATATATATAGGTTAATATATATACACACGACAGTTTCACACACGACAGTTTCTTCATTATATGTATAATTTGTTATTTTAATAATATTTAATTTACTTGAACATACATTACATCTCAACAAAGAGCAGTACACCCTATACCAGACGTTATATGATAATATCCTCAACAAAAAATAAAAAAAAGTAATTGTAGAGCTTCAGTTACTTAATACCAACATGGTATAAAACACTTATCATAAGCTACTGGTTTTGTAGATCAGTGTTTCAATTCAATTTCTTTCTTTATTATGCACCCCATACCCATCCCGTGGGCGGTGGTGTAAAGGATTACTGGAAATTTGGAAGTAATAATAATACAGCTGATGCCATCTGTTGGCAGAAAAGAACACTATCAACAGCCCGATCAAAAGGAGCCATAAGAGACAGCTTTTGCCATCTGTTGGCATCAAATTACACCATTAACAAAACACCCTACAAAAATAACTAGCGACATCTATTGCGTCTCCCATGTACTACAAATAGCCAAACAGCAACCCATAAGGCGAGGTGTTGGGCTGAAGTAAGCGGTCCCCCCCAACCCCCACTAGCTTCCATGTCATTGGTAGAAACTCTTTGTTGACATTACCACAACAGCCAATCACAGGAAGGAATCAGCTAAAGGTTCCACCAGCTTTATAAATCATCTTTATTAAGAACACTAGCCTTGCTTATGACATTCTGCTTCAACTTTAATCTACCTAAAAATTGAAGTGTTAATTATTTAAAAGCAATAATAAAGTGATAATTAATTATTGCAGGCTAAAATAAGTGTTACAGAAAAATGGCCTGGCTACCTAACTTGTGGCCTCATATGTGGGGGTTGCCTCACACAAATAACATTGATGATATAATTCTCCGCCCTCTTATTGGACTACATTATTCAGTTAGATGAAAATTTCTGTCAGAAACAAAACAAAGAGGTTGTTGGGCAAAAGGACGTATTCCTTAGTTTGCATTCCCCAAACTATTTCTAAGTTTGAGTGTTGGCATTCCGTGTTACAGCCAATCACAGGAAGGTATTTGCTAAAGCCCCGCCTCCTCATGAACGTTTAGTACACCGATCTAGCTTATGGTTTTCTGTTTCATCTCTTGTTTACCCACAATATTATTTTTTCGATTACTATGATAATTAAAAATATGAGATCTAAAAGTTAGGGTAGTAGCATATATATATATATATATATATATATATATATATATATATATATATATATATATATATATATATATATATATATGTTATAAATAAACTTTTATTAACAAGCTTAGGTATACAAACTACACACACACACACATATATATATATATATATATATATATATATATATATATATATATATATTCAAGGCCCGATTTGCCTAATAAGCCAAGTTTTCCTGAATTAATATATTTACTATAATTTTTTTCTTATGAAATGATAAAGCAACCCTTTTCTCTATGTATGAGGTCAATTTTTTTTATGGAGTTAAAATTAACGTAGATATATGACCGAACCTAACCAACCCTACCTAACCTAACCTAACCTATATTTATAGGTAAGGTTAGGTTAGGTAGCCAAAAAAGCTAGGTTAGGTTAGGTTAGGTAGGTTAGGTAGACGAAAAAACATTAATTCATGAAAACTTGGCTTATTAGGCAAATCGGGCCTTGAATATATGAGAAGTGCGCATGGCTATTATATATATATATATATATATATATATATATATATATATATATATATATATATATATATATATATATATATATATATATATATGTGTGTGTGTGTGTGTAGTTTGTATACCTAAGCTTGTTAATAAAAGTTTATTTATTTATTTATTTATTTATATGCAAGACGTTACATTGTGGGTTAACAGAGAATATAGAAAATCAGTTGAATTAACATTCTTGTGAAGCCGCTAACACGCATATCGTTTCGGGCGTTCGGGCGCATAGCGTTTCGGGCGTTTCGGGCAAAAGTAGCAGTTCAGCACACCCTGTAGTGACACCCTATGATTAATATTTTTGAAATAATGTTTAATATATACAAAAAATACTTACTACAGAGGAAAATACATAATATACATGTATAATTGGCCTACTTGAATAAACCACTAAACCAGGTAAAGCATTTCGGACACACACGCAAGCCTTAGGCCTATAGAAACGAAATTCTAAAACTCTTGATTTCTGCATCAATTATATTTATATATTTGATGTTATCATATGCCTATAATTTATTATTAAAGTTTAGGGTTTGAATACTCGAAGCGTTGAGTTTGAGGGAGATATTAGTCATGAATTTGCGATAGGGCCTCGTGGCGTGGTGACGTCAGAGGTAAACGGTAGGAGGCCTTTGTGTGGGCGGCGGCTGCTAGACTCGACGCTATGAGCTCCGAGGCTCTCAAGCGCATGTTGAGCGCTATTCTCATTGATGTTGCCAAGGAACGCGATGAATGGACTGAGGAGAATAGGCGGGCAATCCTGCAAGAATACATGCAGGTGAGGCGTTAGTGATTGATTTATTGATAAAGATAAAGCCAGCCAAAAGGTGGCACGGGCATGAATAGCCCGTAAGTGGTGTGGCCCTTTTGAGCCATTACCAGTATCAATAGCTGATACTGGAGGTGCGACTGTACCCTGCGTGACGGGAGATGTCTCCCGTGAGGCGTTAGTTTAGTGCTTCTTGTAAAACAGTCTCTACACTTGCCACCACACCCAGCTGTGGGCGGTTATCTTGAGATGATTTCGGGGCTTTTTTTTTTTCTTAGTGTCCCCGCGGCCCGGTCCTCGACCAGGGCTGCTTCCCCCAGGAAAGAAGCCATGACAAGCCACCGACTTTGTCCTCGTCGAGGCCATTAGTGCTATGGCACTTGGGTAAATAATATACAAAGGCAGAAATGCAATATAAAACTAGATCACTCGGCTTGGCCTCACATTTGTGCATGTTAATGGTTTCTTATCTTCCATAATTTAATGCTAGTGTTTTTTTTTTAAAGAGTTGATAGTTTGGGGAGCTTAGTGTCATCTAACGATGTCATATTTTTTGTTTAAATGTGGTGGTGACCAGCCCAAAACTAGTCTTAATCCCATGCTTTAAATTGTATAATTATAATTAATAGGACTTTTAGATTGTCAGGTCACTATTGAAAAAAGTAACACTATATCTTATTTAATGACTTGGAGGCAATAAAAAACAATTTTAAGTAATTTATACACTTCTGGGCTTAAAATAATATCTAATTCACTATTTTTTATAAATTAAGATTTGGTAATATTTCATGTCCCAAGAGATAATACACTCGACAATTGTACGTGAATTAGTCCAGTCACATGATTACAATCTTGTAAGTGAACAAACTTTGACTCTTGATGACCCCTGGGTCCAACTACTGACATCTCCCAGGATTCAACCCACAACCGTTGCCTAACTCTCAGGTACTTACTTATTGTTAGGTGCACAGAGACATCAGGTGAAATGTGCTGAACCATTTCTGTCCTACTAGAGACTGAACTTAGGATCCATGATTGTGAGTCAAGAACATAGATCATTGTGCTATAGAATCCATATTTACACCAGATATTTACAGTGGAGGACACTGCAGGTAGTGGATTATTAAATATACTGGTAGACTTGAGATACCCTTAATATACTTAATGGGAAGAGAGTACTGTACTTAGATGTTAAGATTGGGTTATTAATGTTTCACCCTTTACAGATATTTGACGAGGTGTGGAGTGAGGCGATGGACATTTTCCAAGACCCTGATGAAATACGAATCCGTGAATCTGTGAGACAAGCAGTACGGGATGGTCGGCCGTCTAGAGGAGAGACTCGAGGTAGAATTTACTTAAATTCTGTATTTAGGATTAAAGATACAGTACTTCTGTTGTCTCTGCAAAAAATTAATGACACAAGCTACAATTCTTAATTATCTAAAATTACAAAATGTAATAAAAATTTTTGTATAAGTGTCAAGTACTGTACAGATTTACTTCACTGTACATAGAGTAATTTAATGTGGGGCAGATTTTGTGCTTTTCAGCAAGATGGTGGTTAATTTATTAACATTTATCTCGTGGATGTGTTTTGTTATTCCTGAATATTTTTGTTTTGACTACATATAATCAACAATTCCAGAAACCATTGAAGATGTTGAGATTCGCCATGAGGGAACTCTTATTGCCGTGACCAAGAAGCGCAAGAAAGTCCCATCACGCTTTTCTGCTCTTCTAGGGAAGGCAGTAAGGCTTCAGAGTAATGCTGCAGTATGTATACTTGGTTCTATATCATATAATGTCAATTGTAACCTAAAAGTCTTCTCATAAACTAACTTCAAATATCTAGAAATATCTACAGTAGGAATACATTAATACCTTATTTATTTTGTTTCATGTGTCATAACTGGAAACTCCACATTCATGTTTGTGTAAACATTGCTCTGTTATTGGACTATGTAACCCCCCCTCCTGGTTGTAAATTAAAAAAAATTGTTAAAACATTTTTGGAACAGTGGGGGGGGGGGGGGGTTACTTTGAACATTATTTACAACTACAAACTAATAAGCATAGTTGTACTAAATGGTTTGCATACATCTTGAGAGGATTTCGGGGCTTTTAGTGTCCCCGCGGCCAGGTCCTCGACCAAGCCTCCACCCCCAGGAAGCAGCCCGTGACAGCTGACTAACACCCAGGTACCTATTTTACTGCTAAGTAACAGGGGCATAGGGTGAAAGAAACTATGCCCATTGTTTCTCGCCGGCGCCTGGGATCGAACCCAGGACCACAGGATCACAAGTCCAGTCTGCTGTCCGCTCGGCCGACCTCCCTCCCTATACATGGCCCTATTGCTGCCATAATTGTAGTCATATTAGTGCTGCAGTTTTTGTGATGTATACAGTGGAACCTCGAATAACGACGTTAATCCGTTCCGGCGCCGTGGTCATGTGAAACTGACGTTATTCAAAATAAATTGAAAGTTCCCGATTGAAAAGAATGTAAATAGAAATAATCCGTTTTGCCACCGAAAACATCGATATGATATTCGATGTTTTAAATAACGGAGCAGACTACCTTACATGCAATGAACAAACATTTGACATTTTTTTTCTTCAAATTTGTTAAAAAAAAAAAAAAAATTTTTTGTATAGCAAAAGGTTCGTTTGGTGTTTGTCAGTTAGGCTGCTCCATGTTTCTTACAAAAAAAAAAAATGAAGAATTTTGAAAAACAACAAATGTCAAAAAGGATCGTTCGGTGTTAGACAGGTAGGCTGCTCCACGTTTCTTAAATTAAAAAAAAAAAAATTAAAAAAAATTGAAACAATTTGAAAAACGGACAAGTGCCATAAAGGTTTGTTCAGTGTTTTGTCCAGTAGGCTGCTCTATTATGACAATATCTTTTTGAAATGTGTTCTATTTATTTTATTTCTCAATAATGGAGCAGCCTACCCGACAAACACGGAACGAACCTTTATGGCATTTGTTCGTTTTTCAAATTGTTTGAATTTTTTATTTGAGAAACGTAGAGCAGCCTACCTGCTGAACACCGAATGAACCTTTTTAACATTTGTTCTTTCTTTAAAAAATTAATTTAGTTTTTCCACAAAAAAGTCAATGGTTTGCAACATCGCAGCATCGATAGCATCGTTAAACAAAAAAATAATTTATTTGCATCATCAAAGGAGTCCGAGAATGCGAGAAGCAGCCCGCGATCCCACCATGTGGCGTTGACATTTATTCAAATGAGCGGTCGCCCAACGAGACGAATTATCGGCGATCGGGGCGTTCGTTACCCAAATTGGTCGCCACTCTAGGTTCTGTATTTGCATTGTATTTTGGTATCACACCACTTTCAAAGGAATTTCGGTATAGAAGTTGAAGTAGTTCTGAAAGGACTGAGTAAACTACTGTACTCCCAGTCTGACATATGGAAGTGAAACTTTAGCATGGTAACGGAGCAGTGTATTCATAGATGCAAGCCGTGGACATTCATTATGTTCTTTTGTGTTCTAGAAAAGTGCCCTGTATGTAGAATAGACATATTAATTAAAAATTATGAGATATGGTATAAAGGAATGAAACGTGGAATACAGTATGTGGAATCCAATAAATGTCAGTGGTATCGAAAGGTTGGTACAATGTTTGATAATTCGACAATCGGCTTGAGAATGGTCCAGGATGGACCGAAACGTCGTCGTCCCTTTACTTTCTAGTGTGTGGTTTGGTCAACATATTTCAGCCACGTTATTGCGCCTTCTTGTCTGCACATGCCTGATAATTGTTTAATGAGAAAGGTGTACAAGGGTAAAATATGAACATCATATGGTAGAGGCAGGCAACTGGAATCTTAAAAGGGGAGAGTGAAAGAGTAGGAAGAGGAATTTGAGCATGCAGGAGAAACCTCTGCAGTGGCCATTTCCTATTGGGGAGCTCCCAAGAGATGAGTAAGGCATCAAGGTTACATATATTCATTTATTTGTTATCTTTCCAAAACCATTATAGTGTTTAATACAATACCTTATTATATTCAGAACTATTATTGTATATATTTTTTTTACTGCTAGTTTCCTATAATTTCAGGCAAAAATGTGTAGCTGTTTAACATCAATGAAGTAATTTAGGATCATTTCATATTCTTACAGGAAAAGCTGAATGTGGACCTACCACCAACAGCTTTATTGGAGACAACTGATTCAACCCAAATGGAGGAATTTGATGAAATATTCAAAAACGCTTACAGAATAGTTTACGAGACTACTCGAGTCATGCGACCACATATTCAGTGCCTAACAAACATTGTTAATGCAACTGAAACAGTTATCAATAATGATAATCATCCTGTAGAAACACTAATCACCAACATTGACAAAATGAATGTAAAAAAACACTGATGCAGGAGATTCTACGTCCTCGGAAATTTTAAGACTGAAAAACAATAAAAGATGAAATACAGCAAGGATATTAATAATGTACTTTTTTGACATACAACATTTGTTAATGGAAATGTTAAACTACTAATTTTAATAAAGTTTTTTTATCTTGTCTAATTTTGCTTCTGTATCATTTATCCAATTGCCACTTTCATAAGGGGGGGGGGGAGGTTATCTTTAGGTGATTTTGAGGCTTAGGGTCCCCACGGCCCGGTCCTCGACCAAGCCTTCTTTTTGTTACATACCCTCAGGAAGCAGCTCGTAGCAGTTGTCTAACTCCCAGGTACCTATTTACTGCTAGGTGAACAGGAACATTAGGGTGAAAGAAACTTTGCCAGTTTGTTTCTGCCTCCACCGGGGATCGAACTTGGAACCTCAGGACTACGAATCCGAAGCGTTGTCCACTCAGCTGTAAGGCCCCCAATGTGGAGAGATGGGTCTCCAACCTGGTCTCCTCCCTGTATTCACCTAGTTGTGCTTGTGGTGGGGTTGAGCTCTGCTCTTTCAGCCCACCTCAATTGTTACTAACTTCAATTTTTTTTTTCACACAAAACCCCCCCCCCCCTCGGCATATAAAGCGGAATCACAGTAAACAAGAAAGAATTATAATAGACTGTAATCATACCTGAACTAATACATGCCTTGGACACAAAACCCAGACATTACAAGGGTCATTTCATAGGCGCTTCGTGTTGCCACTATTTCTCTCGCTTGGTCATGACATGGCTTTCCATTATATTATTTTTAGTTAATAAAGCAGATTAAAATCTTTTTTATTAATACTTTATTTGCATAAGGTATAACAATACAAAAATACAAGGCTGCAGATGTGAGTTTGTGTTCTGCCTTGTTTTAATGTACATCTGCATAAATGTGTATACAAAAATACCTGGTACAGTATATGCTAAAAATATTATGTACTATGTACATACACACCAAGACTTTAATTACAATTTCACGTCTTTTGTAATGTACTGTTATGCACAGGTATTACTTAATGAGCAGACTTGACTGACAATGTGTTAGTAGGGGAAAATATCAATAAAAACTTTTTAATCAAAAAACCTAACATTTCTTATAGTTTCTGGCATATACTCTATTTTTTTCACAGCCTGAGGAGCAGCTGAATAACCACGTCCATATCCTGTGGGAGAAAAAGACAGAATTTAACATAATTATCATGCTGATGAAGCGAATGCATTGGGGGGGATTTTACACATTTCAAGAAATATTAAAGTAATTGGGTATGGGAACATGCTACAGTATATAGTCGTAATGGCTTGGCACTTTCCCTCTGATAATTCCCTCCTCGTGTATGGGAAGAGAACTGAAATGGAATGCATGTTAACAGCATCCATATAATTTGCAAATATACTTATTTTTAAACAATACGAACAAAAATGAAAATGCAGATTTACCAAACTTTACCTAAATTGACCTACAATTGTAGGTCATAAAACATACTGTATATGAAATACACAATGAAATTATAATAATGTCTATGATAAAATCTTTGGTACAGGACTGGGATCGAACCAGTATCCTGGGTCACCCCAAATATGCACCCCATGAGCCGCAATGTGCTAAAGGTTACACAACCTGGAACTCGCCCAGATCCACTGGAAAATGAGGGATCGAGTTGGTAGCCAATCAAAGTTTTACATACACTTGGATTTGCTACCAGCTCAATGTGTCAAGATTCCTAGTGGATCTGACCAGATCCCTGGTTGTGTAGCATTTAGCATGGATCATGGATCGGGCACACATATGGGAATACTCATGACACTGTTCCCATCCTGCTCCAAAGATTTTCTTATACAATATATGAAATATTTTCCCACTGAAAACTTTGACATGAATAAATAATGTGACTTACTTTAATATGAAATATATAGCAAAATATGAACAAAAACCATCCACTTATCCAAAAGTTACCCAAATCCTCAAAATTTTGAATATAGATAAAATATTTTCCTACAGTATTATTGGCAATTATTGGCAAATTACATAATTCAAGTAGGAAATATATTCATTTTATATACCTATTTAGTTTAGGCACAACCTTAATCTAATAACATGTTGTTTTCTGGATACAGTCTTACGCATGTCGTCACTGTATGATCATCCTGATCAGACGTATGGTCCTCTCACACAAAGAAATTACAAGACATTTAACTAAAAATACACTTATCTTACCTAGATTCTTCATGAGTGCAGTAGGAGCATTTCTCAGATGAAGCGGCACAGATGGCAAGGGTCCAACGTGGTTTTTTATATGTTCTTCGACACGATTCATTGCTAAATATACCTCGGGGTTGTGATGTGCTCTGGCAAGGATACGAAAACATGCGACACATGGTTAGAAGGGCCAATAATGAAATTTTTTTGGCATTGCCACATTTCCCACATTCACTGGCATGGGGGGGGGGGGGGGGGGCAACACCAACCAGGAAGAAAATATTGAGGATCAATATAGTAAAAGAAAGTCAAATCAAATAATAGTACTCCCCCATTCATTATATTACACATCCTCAAGGTATATTACTAAGCTTTAAAAATAAAAATTAACTTATTAATTAACATATGAACTGAAAGAACAGATATTGTAAACAGGAAGTTACAAGTAGAACACAAAAATAAGGTATAAAAATTATTTCACACTGATAGGCCAATTAGACAAGGATGGGGAGTAGCAATATATCAATTCGTTTTTTTAAATACCTGTAGTCAAACAGGCTCAAACCAATCACAAACAATTTGAATTGGACTAAATTAATAAAAAATGAGAGCCTAATATTAGGAAGGAAAGTAGATCCAAGTATATAGGGTATGTGTAATAATTTCTACATCATATTTATGTGCCTTTAATTTTACAAGGATAAACTGAACAAACAAACAATTTTCCGACAGAATTTGAAGTCCAGACAGTATTATATATATACTGTATGGTATTGAAAATATATTAAGTAAAATAATAATGACCCAAATAGATAACCATGGGACTAAAGTGCCTTATTGAAAAAAAGATCATGTCAACAAATTAAGAATGGAGAACTTTATCTGAAACAATTTATTAAGCTAGCAACAGCCACTAACAAAGAAGTAAAAGAAAAGAAGGCATTATGACGTGCAAATAGCACTTCTGGGGGGGGGGGGCTTCTTCAGTGAGGGAGATCATGAATACCCTCCTGCCTCACCCTCTTTGAGGAGGCCAGGTTTTAACTTCTGGCTCCTGGCAGGCCTTTAATGACTTGTAAGAGGCTGATGGGACTTTTAAGTCTGGTGCTGTCTCAGTGTGACTAACAACAGAGCACCCCTGTTTTGGCCCCTCCAGAAATGACTTATTCTACAACAAATTATAAGTACTTGGCTGTAGGATGACTTGTGGGCAGAAGCCTGAGAAATGATCAAAGACTGCTCATATCTGAGAAATATGAGAGGTCTCTTCCCCCTCCCCCCCACCCAGCCAAAATAAAAATCTTATAGACAATTGGAGAATAAATAAAAATTGCAGAATATGGGAAGGTATGTAAAGGTGTTCAACAAGTTCATCAATTCAAGAACTGCACTTCTACCCACATTAATCTTTATACCTTCTCTCACATATTAATACATTTTCTTATAATCTATATACAATCCTCCCTCTTATAAAAGAATTGTGTCATCTTCATCAAATTTGCCAGTGTAGATACCGATATAAACCTTATAGGCCTTATATTGTTATCTGATATTCTTACCCTCATCTTCCTAATGATCCCACCCAGATACACAATGACCAGGTTGATTAAATATATGACTGAAAAAGAGGGGTTACAATGAAATCAGATTTTCCAACAAATCATCTACATTACCCACCTGGCAAGGTAAACAGCACACTGAGCCAGTATAACATCCGATTCTGGCATCCCCAACATCTGCACAGCTTGCATTGTTGACACAGCACAGGTGAGTGCTTCAGGCGTCCCAAGACCTATAAGCACATCAATCATCATCATCGATTATCTGCCAATTAGTTATACTGTACTTCCATTCCAGTCTAGAACCTAACTGATACTGTACTTTCATATCTATATTTATTAGATATTTTACCAATATTTCTTATTTAAAGTTGTTACGGTAATCTCCTGCTTAGGCAGAAGATCCTGCCTGTTCCCTTTACTGTCTATTCACCAACGTATCTGCATGCTCTAATATAAGGAATCGACATCAACAATACGTGCTCAGTGTCTATACAGACACCACCACCCTCCACCCTCTAGTACCCAAGACACCTGGACACCTGCTGTCTGGGCAGAGGCCCAGTGCCACTTGCCAGTTGACCAGCCTAATTGTTTAATTGCCGGCCAAAGGTTACCCACAACATCAGCGCCATCTATGCTGGCCTGGCCCGAATATATAAGGAGCTCACCGACGTCCAGTCCTCAGAATACTCTTCGTGTTCCAAGCTGCAACATCTACTCTCGCTCCCCTGGGTGTCGGTAGACTCGAGCAGCTCTTGTATACAATATTAATTTGCACCTCTCTTTTGCTTAACATAATAACTCACCTGTGTTTATATTTCTTTCATATTTTATATTGTGTTTTCGCCAAGTGGATAAGAGGCTTCTTAAAGTGCGAGAGGTCCCGGGTTCAACTCCCGGAGAGACCCCCACTTTAATGTGACGTTAATCTGAAAATAGAGCAGTGGCTATTCTGGCTAGTGTTGTGCCAATCTTACATTAAAAAAAAAAAAAAAATAAAGTAAATAAGATTGCTTGTGACCTCTACACCGTGAAAGCTGTGGGTAAAACAAAGAGAATAAACACTTAAAACATTTAATATAACAAAACAAAGCCACTTGGTGAAAACACAATATAAAAGAAATATAAACACAGGTGAGTTTTTACGTTAAGCAAAAGAAAGGTGCAAATTAATACTTCATACAAGAGCTGCTTGAGTCTACCGACACCCAGGGGAGCGAGAGTAAATGTTGCAGCTTGGAGCACGAAGAATATTCTGAGGACTGGACGTCGGTGAGCTCCTTATATATGCAGGCCAGGCCAGCATAGATGGCGCTGATGTTGTGGGTAACCATCAGCCACCAATTAAACAAGTAATTAGGCTGGTTGACCGGCGAGTGGCGCTGGGCCTCTGCACAGACAGCAGGTGTCCAGGTGTTTTGGGTACTGGAGGGGGGTGGTGTCTGTATAAACACTGAGCACATATTATTGTTGTTGATGTTGATTCCTTATGTTGGAGAATGCAGATACGTTGGTGAATAGGTGGTAAAGGGAACAGGCAGGATCTTCTGCCTAAGCAGATTACCGTAACAAAGTAGATAAAGTAATAATTCTTATTTATTTCCATATTGTGTAGATAAGGATATTATTTAATGTTACCATACCAATGTCTTCAGCAGCTGTCCTGACAAGCCTACGAGCAATAAATCGGGGATCCTCTCCTCCTTTGATCATACGCATGGTCCAGTAGAGAGCAGCATTGTCATCACCACCTCTAATAGACTTCTGTAATGCCGAGGCAAAATTATAGTGCTCATCACCTTTCCGATCATACAACACATGGCTTCTCTGAAAGTAAACAAGTTCAGGTCATGTTAGAAACACTGACAAATTTGGATTAAGAATCGATAAGACATACGCACCAATCTTTATATTTAGAAGTAGAGTACCGTATGTCATAATAATGCAGAACAATTTTTGTTTGTGTCATAGTGACACCATTGTTAGACACAATCATGGTGTCACCAGGATACAAGATGTAGCATAATGGGTATAACCATTTGGATTGCAAAACGACACAAATGATTTCATATTATCTCAAATATACATATTTATTTATAAGGACTATTTGAAAATCACAATACAATAAAGGTTAATACTGTACCTGTAGTGCTTCTTTTGCATTGCAAATAGTAATAAGTCCATTGTTATGAGATTCTAGCAGTATCTGCAGAGTACTGAGAGCACAGCGAGCATCCCCTCCACTCATCTCGGACAACCAGTGCACAGCTTCTTGGCTTATTCTCACAGTGCTGGAAATGGCTATTTTGATAAGATAGGATAGACTAGGTTTACACCCCACTATTATAAGTAAGCCTTAAGTATAAGGCTTAAAATGTGTAATTGATATGTCAAATGTGATGCATTCAGATATTCTTTTAACAAAACAAAAGGAGAACAGTTACTATATGTAGACAAGTTTTACATTTTATCAATATGTGTGAGAAAATTGTGAAAAGTGAATGTGGATAAAATTAAAGTGGTGCAGAGAGAAGGAAATTCTGTTTGTGAAATAAATGTGAATGGTAAAGAGTCCTGAAATTGGTTGATCAGTTTAAAGATTTGATGTGTAAGTGCTAAAAAGAGGAATTTGCACAATTTTAGTTAAGAGTAAGGTTATTTGGAGAAGGAAAATGACTGATGCAATTAAAGCCTTGATTAGAAGAAAATGAATAGGAATTCATGCTGCCAGAGATCTGTATGAAAAAGTGGTAATCCCAACTCATATGTAAAGTTGCAAAATGACGGTGCAGAATACACATGAATAATCAAGAGTCAGAGGAGTAGAAATTGATAATCTGAGAAGCATGTGTGGTGCTAGAACAGAGTAAGAAATGAAAATGTCTGGGAGAGGAAGGCAGGACAAAAAAGTGGGCAGACACAGTGAGCAAACATGTTAGGAAATGGGTTAAGTGTGTGTAAAAGTAAGGAGTGAGTGTGAACGACACATGGGATATGGCGAGGGACAAGGCTGGGTGGAAGCAGTTTGTAAGAGATTGAATGTATTTGTATACTGTTCTGTATAAGGGAATATATGTGATGTATTTGTATACTGTTCTGTATAAGAGAACGTATGTATTTGTATACTATTCTGTATTAGAAAACAAATGTATTTGAACAGCTATAACCTTCATTTACTACACTACTCGGCTTTCTATACCGAGGTGAGCATACAGCCAAAAGTGCTAATGTAGGGTTCATGAAAATACTAAATATTCAAGAAAAGGGTTCATTCACCAAATACTGGAAATGATGACCTCTTTCCAAAATCTTCCTGTCTAACTACAATTTATACAAGTCATTCCTATTTTCTTTTAAATTAATTTTAATTATATAATCACTCAGTTTCTCTCATATACAGAAAGATCCCTACTAATGTCCTCTGGCTTTGATGCCATCTTATATAATCAAATTTGACAAGCTAACACCATTATTAATTACCAAATATCTTCACAGACAAACCTTTTGGTTTCACCATCTGTTGCTTCACATTCAGAGTCTTCCTCCTCCTCCTCTTCATCATTTTCACTTTCTTCTTGATCTAATTTTGTTCCATTTTCAATATTCATATTTGCCTCTCTCTCAACAGCAATATTTAATTTTGTAAGAGCCCTCTTTAAGATTCTCCTGATGCTCCTTGGACTGAGGGCATCTAAAGTAATTACTCGACACCTGTAATATCACAATGTTAACTATTAATGAAATGTTAAAAGTACAGTACAGTAGTTTTATAATATTAACCACTAAATTATAAAAGTTCATGTATTATGCTACTTATCATAAGCAAATACCTTCCCTAGTTCCCCAAAACTGCCAATATGGACTAAAAGCTTTCAAATCAATACTGCCCATTTTAGGACCTCAATGTATATTTATTCAATTTGTACAGTTATTCATCATTACTATCCCATTTTTCACTTTCATGGCATAGCTCATTTGCCTTGAGCACACAGAGGAGCAGAATAGGAAAAGAAGGTTCAAGATATTGAAAATAATACCTATCACTTTGCAAGCTAACAGCACCATGGAAAATATGTACTGAATGATTTGGCAGTCCCAGTACCTGATCCAGTTGCAGACTTCCATCAATTCAATCACTGAAATCCCCCTTCCTTAAATATTGGGATTATTTTTGTAATTTTCCAGATTTCAGAAAGCTCACCACTCTCTAATGTTATGTTGAAAGCTCTAGTAAATGAGTAACAAAATCCCAGCAACCTCTTTCAGCAATCATAGCAATACCTGGTCTGGCTCTACTGCTTTTGTTACATTCAACTCTGCCAGGTGTCTTAGCCTCATCTTTAATGACTATCATGCTGTCTAGTGTTGTTTCTGGCCATGTGTCATCTCCTATCCCTGGTCTTCACTTTGGTTCTCCTTTGTATATCTTGTGGAACCCCTTCTTTAGTTTCCTCACATACTTCCTTGTCGCTTTCCATGAGAATGCTTCCCTGTCTCAAAGGCCTCATTACATATTTTCCTCACTATAAAAAAGCTTTGATTAGCGTCTTGGTTTTGGTTCTACTGTATATCATTCTCGTATTGCTACTCTGCTGTCCTACTGACTCTGGTAAATGATATTCATTTTTAGCTCTCTTTAATGCCATTCTTTTTGCCAAGTTCCCAGCTCCATTGTTTTCCATGATTTTTGGGTCTTCTCCTTGTACTGTGTAATGAACCATAAGTTTGCCTTACTCTTCTGCACATTTCAAGGCTACAAATTAGCTCATTGCATTTGCTGTGGTTAAAAATGTCAGTGTCAGAAGATCGGCTCCTTCCTTGCCACTGTAGCTGCCTTTTGGATTACCTTCAGGCAGGCTTTGCTGCATTTATCATACTCTTTCCTTGGTCTTTCTGTATTCAGTGGGGCCTGTAAATAATTCATAATATCCTCATGGTTCCCACTGTTACAGTTTGTGGGTGTATGCATGCAAGTGTATCATTACAATAACTGACCAAAAATTAAATAAAGTCTGGTGTAAGTGTGCACTAATTGAATTCAGATTAAACATAACATTTCACATACATATACAGGTATTAAAGTACCTGTAATGTGAGAAGGAAAATCAGCAAGATTTATATTGTTTGGAAAAATATGCATCAGTACTATACTGAAGACCTTCACATTTTTTATATTTAAACCCTAAAAACCCTCAAATGATTAGGGAGAAACTATGCTGTATCTAGTTTGTGATCACTAACAGGAACAAAACAAGTTATCAACACAAACTTGACGATAATACGAGTCATTTAGAACTCAATTCAGATATTGATAAAGATGAGAATCTTACCTTGACAGCAAAGCAGAGTTAAGTGTAAATGATGGATTTTCTGTTGTGGCACCAATCAGAGTAAGCAAGCCATTTTCAACATGTGGCAGGAAGATGTCCTGCACCAAAAAATATCAGAGATTAATTTATACAGTAACATTCTAGTTTTTTTTTCTTAAGCTGGGAGAAGGATGAAAAGAATACTTCTTTACTATCTTAACCTCCTTAACCTCCATCCAAATAAAAATGAACATACATAAGTTGCCTCTTTCCCTAGCAAATAACAATGACTAATAGGTTTTCCTCATGTATTTCATGCATGTCCATATTCCTTCCTAGCTTACTGGTTGCTGGGGGAGAAGACAAAGACATGCTATAAGTGACTTGCACTCGTTACTGGACCACTCGCTAGAGGGGGTCACCCTTAAGGCTGCCCTGTGCTGGATGGGTGGCTGGACTGAAGAGTGTGGTGGAAGAGGGGTTTTTGCACTGAGTAAGCTGTCTTATCATAAGGTTCCCTGGTAGATGGAGTCCCACAACTCAGTTCCACCCAACAATAACTCATGCTATATGGATGTTGCTCTTTCACACTCTGTACATGATGATGGCTTGACAGTGTTACTGTGCATGTACAACACACACAGCAGTGGGCGAGACATTACAACTATTCCTTCATTACTGATATGTCTTCCAATCTTATATGTATTATGTACCAATATATGAGAAGTAGCAGTTCAGTAAAATTTAGAAACCCTCAGATTTAGGAAAATAGTAAACTATAAACTGGTTGATGGTATACAACCTTCAGCTGTGTGCTCATACAGCACATAAACCATACAATGGGTGAGAACAGGTGAAAATTATCTTAATTTCTCTAAACCTATTCAACTTTGCGACAATTATTGCTTTAATCCCAACTGGTATCTAGGAGATGAAGCAAGATTAAGTAATAATTTAACCACAAGTCACATTACCCTTGCTGAATAGGCACAAATTCTTCTGTATTTACCTGCTGTGCTTTATTGAACCTATGTACTTCATCCATGAACAGAACAGTTCGCTTCTTTCTCAATTGCAAGGCTCCCTGTGCCTCACGGACAACACTCCTCACATCTTGAACCCCCGATGTACAAGCCGAGAGGGAGGCGTATCGCCATTTCTCTGATCCTCGACAACGTTCGTGGATAATGTTAGCTAATGAAGTCTGGTGGGGATAATTTTATAAAGTTAATACTTTAAAATCATAACAAATACTTCATACAGCTACAGTATACCTTTAACCATTAATGTTAATATCTTTACACATTCAAAATCCCAAACATATTTACCGATAAAATCTAAAGTCGTGTAATAGCCTTCCAATTTAATTATAATCAATAAGAAAATAGGTGAAAAAAGCGATTGCTTCAGCAAGTACAGTAAGATGCCCACATAAAATAAAAGAAAATGGTAGATTACCATTAACAGTTGTCATGTGCATGTACTGTACAATACTCTTGAATTTTGTATTACTTTATTCCATAAGCTCACCTTTCCACATCCTGGAGGACCCCATAGAATCATATTGATGAAATTATCTTGCACGATCAATGTCTTGAGAAAAGAATTGCTATGTAGGATAGAGTCTTGCCCAATATAGTTGTCTAATGTCACAGGTCTCATCTTCTCTGCGAGTGGCACTCCGTTATTGTCTGTTGAATGATACATCCACAATAATATAAGAAGAAAATATATAAGCAATATTAAATTATTAGCCAATGGAATAAATTAATTTTTTCACCAAGAGCTGATTGTGAAGCTCGTGTTAACATAACTTGAGGTTCTTTAAATTTTATGAAATTAGCTTTGTAATGTATCCTAAATATACTTTTATTGCTTAATGTCCAACCACTTGGCCTGATCGGTACAGTAGCAACCTTGCTTCTTGCAAGTCAGAATCCAATCCCTGATGCTCCAAGTGGTTGGAGAGTAATCCTTCTCTCTGTCCTATACCAGCTCCTTGTCCTCATATCCCTTCCAAGTGCTATACAGTACTGTATATTCATACTAGCTTAGTGTTTGATAATTATGTTACCTTTTGTTGCTTAAGAATTCCTCACACAGTTCCCTATTCATTTATCTCACTGTCATATTTTATTTATTTTTTCCATAGAATCTGATTCACCTTTATCTGTTTACTATACCTTAACATTGAAGCTCTACAGCAAATAAGAATATGCATTCTAAAAGACATTTGGTAAAGATGCCACAACGTACGACTGAAAACAGAAGATGCTTTTTCACGACAAATGGGGAGACCTTTGACAAGTTGCTGGCTTCCTGTCCTCATTAAGGCCACAACAGATCTACAGTATCAAAATCTACAGAAGACAAACTACAACAAGCTAGGCTGAAGTTTCTGTTTTAAATTATATTTTTGATTCAGTGTGTGTGGAAATTCAAATTATGTTGGTTGTGGTACAAAAAATTGAAAATGTTAATTTTTGGACTTCCCCAGTAAGAATTCTAAGAGTATCTAGATGTCTGGATAATCCAGTCAGGGGTCCTTCCCATATAGTCAGAATAAATGAGCTTAGACATTACTAAAACTAGACATTAGACCTATTATAAGAATACAAATACTGTACTGTATGTGAAAAGCAGTAAACTACGACTTTTTTTTAAATTACATCTGTTTAGGATTATAATTTGTATTTGTAATAATACACAATCTAATGGTGAGAATACATAATTACAGTATGTTAATTAATGTATATTTATTATGAATTAAAAAAATGAATTTTGCCAATGGGGAGATGTTATTCAATAATTGAAAGGCTCTTGTAAAAGTGAAGCAAATAACTCTGCAGTTCTGCATTTTTCATGTAGTCAAAGAAAATAACCCTCATTAAAAAGGCACCACTAGCGTAGAGCTTCTATTGGCAGACAAAGCCAATCATTCTATTACCTCTGAAATACTGTATTACTGAACAATTAAACTACACACTAACCGGACTTCTGCTCAGAATACTGAGTGGCAACAGGTAGTGTATCTTCATTATTAGATGAAGAAGCACCATCTTGCGATACATAATCACCCTTGTTTTGTCTGGCTCTCTGGTCCTTATGCTGTCCTGAGCTTGTAATGCTTCGGCCTGAATTTCCAAGGAAGCTCCAGGCTTTAGCTTGCTCTTTGCGAGATTTCTTGATGCTTGATGGTAATGATGTTTTAGTTATGTGGCTTGGAGAACTGGTCTGTAATAAGTAAGAATTAAAATAGCCTGCAAACTTGTGTGTTTAACTGCTGTAATACTGCAAATTTGAGGACATAATTACCAAGGCTAAATTATATACCTTGTACAGTACTAGCTGTTATTAGAAATTTCAGGATTTAAACAAAATTATAAAAGTATAGCTGTACATCACAAGGTGTCATTACTGTAACCTAATAATTAAATTGAACATACTGTATATTCAGTGGTATGCCGTATTACTGTATACTGTGTATTATGCAAAGTATACAACAATAAAATATGAAAATATCAGATGAAATTTTAATTGTTTATTCACAGTACAGTACTATTATGTTATTTACTTGTCTGTACTTGTCTCTACTAAAATCCCTACTTGCCTCATTCGCAGAGTTATCTTCCTTTGATTCAGTGCGCTTCCTCTTATTTTCGCAAAGAGAAGAACTGACATCAGTTTTCTGGCCTTGATGTGCACTCTCAGTGCTGCTGTTAAACCTGAAATATTTTGTTACATTCACCAAAAATGTCCATTATACAAAAACCATCTTTCTGTGAGGTCTCATGTATTTACCTACCAAGTTAAACAATAGTCACACACTACTACTAATACTAGTAGTAGTGTAATGTCTACTACTGTGCAAGGGTGCAGTAGTAGCTCAAGGGTACTACTGCACCCTTATGCATGTAGTAGTACCCCAGGTTACAATTCTATTGACCATGTCGTGTTACAGTCGACTAGAGCGAGTCTGGGAACACCCAGAGCATAAGTTTGAACCCTCATCAAGGCTCCTGTGGATTTGTTCCTTAAGCAATAGTGTAAAATTCGCCGACATTCACCGTCACTATCATTGTTTTATATTTTCCTGAAGAAGGCAAGCAAGGTAATAATTATGACCAATTATAAAACTATGACAAATTTGAACAAATACTTGACGTCTCTTAAAATATGAACAGAGTCTTATGACAATTTTGAACAAATATTTGACATATCTAAATATATAAACAAGTCTTAACTATGTCTGCAGTTTAAGACTTTGAGGCATGGGCCTACCTCTCCTGGATGCAAGCTTCTGCGTGAATTTCAATCTCTGAAGAAGAGAAAGAAGCACCACATATTGGACAAACCACGTCCATATTTCTTAGTCCCAGAACGTATCACAAAGTAACACAAGCAGTCTTATGGCATGTCACCTACTAACGGCTTGTCATGAACAAAATAACACAAACAGTCTTATGGACTGATGGAAGATGAAGGGAGGGAGTCAAGCAGCGCGGGGTGAGCGTCGTCGCCTTATCCCCACCACCACACCACAACTTGCTCAGTTTCTCTTGACCATATTTCAATTTTATAACACAATTTATATTGATTATAAAAACACGTAGTGTATGTTATATTATGTTGGTATAATTGTGTATATATTTTATTCACTACCACTAATCAGTTGATTTCGTTCTTGACTCACAATCGATGATCTTTAGTTTGATTCCCTGGCGGGACAGAAAGGGTTGGGCACGCTTTCATTTACCTATTACATCTGTTCATCTAGCAGTAAATAGGTACCCGGGAGGGATAATAGTCACTTGTACAGGACTGATCTCGCACACATATATTTTTACCATTTCGGACACAAAACTAAGTACGTTTCGTATACATATCATAGCTCAATATTAAAACTACAATATAATGCTATTAACAGTTAAATTCTTCTACTTTGGCATACAGTTATTAAATGAAGTTAATTAATGTGATGGACATAATTCGGGCTTCATATGAACGACGCTCGCCAGAGTAAACACTTCACATCTGAAGGCCCACAAACATGATCGAGCGCACAAAATACTCTACCGTGGGCCATAATCGAAACATTATAATAATTAATTTTTGTTTTATTAAAAATCTAAAACCCATGGCTACTCTATCTATCTGCGTATACATGGCTGTGAATGGAGTCATCCTGGTGCAAATCTCCAGAAGATTACAGAGGGCAGACTCTGGAATGTCTAACCTTGAAGTAGTATGTCACTGTAGGTTCTATCTAACATTAAGTTGATGGTGGGATCTACAGGGACGTTCGTAAATAGGGATTCCACGTATATTGTTGAGTCGTTTAGCTAGACTATACGCGGGTGTAGGGATCTGGCTGATGATGGGTCGTAGAGGGTTACCAGGCTTGTGGGTTTTCACATTACTGTAAATGTATCCTAGGTTGTAGTCACCCTAGACCTTTTACAGGTCGATGCTGCCTTTTTTAGTATTAACCGCATCAATTATACGGTAACCTGTCTTCTTGATATCTTCAGTTGGGTTTCTGGTAATTCTATTGAATTTGATCTCATCTTTAAGGTGACATTCAGCAGTCGGGATGAGAACGAAGGCTGTGGTTTTATCTGCGCTACGGATTATGATGTTCTCCATGGACTTAAGTTACTGTGCTGCGTTTTTGTTTTTATTATCTAGGGTGATACTCTTGTAGTCTTCCCCTTGAGGAGACATGTATACGCAGATATAGACGGAGAAGCCATGGGGTCCCCACTAAGAGTCCTCTTTGCTGACTTCTATAAAGGCACACTAGAAAACCTTCAAACCCACGGGGAAACCTCGCATCTACTACAGATACATCGATGATATATTCGTATGTGTTAAGACCTCCAGGAAACTACTTAATCGAAACTCAGTGTTTAACTTTACCTATGAACGAGTCAGCGATGGTACACTCCCTCTCCTCCATGTCTACGTGAGAACCAAAGACAACATTCTCACCACACAAGTTTATACTAAACCCACCAATATTGGAATGTGTATGAATGGTCACTCCGAATGGCCGGACAGATATAAGATTGGTGTAATAAACGCATTAATAAACACAGTCCTTACTCATTGTTCTGATTGTTACTCTTTGTTTTGACTGGTATAAAATCCACAAGGAAATGGAGGGAAGCCTTCAAGTATTATCAGAATATAATTCCCCTCCCATAAAACTATTACGAAATCCAATATAAGCGACAGAATTTTGCAATTTTGTGTAACAACTTTCATATCTCATATTTTTTAGATGAAACAGAAAGCCATAAGCTAGATTGGTGTACTAAACGCTCATGAGGAGGCGGGGCTTTATTGCTGTTGCACGGAATGCCAACACTTTTTATGAATGAAATGCAAGCCAAGAAATACGTCCTTTTGCTCAACAATCTCTTTGTTTTGTACCCGAAATAAATTTTCCTCTAACTGAATAATGTAGTCCAATAAGAAGGAGGAGCATTATATCATCAATGTTATTTGTGTGAGGCAACCCCCACTTATGACGTCACAAGTTAGGTAGCCAGGCCATTCTTCTATAATACTTTTTTCATCCTGCAATATTTAATTATCACTTTATTAATACTTTTAAATAATTAAAGCTACACTTTTTAGGTGGATTAAGGTTAAAGCAAAATGTCATAAGCAGGGCTGATATTCTGAACAAAGATGATTTATTAAGTTGGTGGAACCATTAAAAGATGATCCCTTCCTGTGATTGGCTGTTGTGGTAATGTCAACAAAGAGTTTCTACCAATGACATGGAAGCTGGTGGGGGTTGGGGGGGGACCGCTTACTTCAGCCCAACACCTCGTCTTATGGGTTGCTGTTTGGCTATTTGTAGTACATGGGAGACGCAATAGATGTCGCTAGTTATTTTGTAGGGTGTTTTGTTAATGGTGTAATTTGATGCCAACAGATGGCATAAGCTGTCTCTTATGACTCCTTTTGATCGGGCTGTTGATAGTGTTCTTTTCTGCCAACAGATGGCATCAGCTGTATTATTATTACTTCCAAATTTCCTGTAATCCTTTACACCACCGCCCACGGGATGGGTATGGGGTGCATAATAAAGAAAGACTTTGAACTGAAACAATGATCTACAAAACCAGTAGCTTATGATAAGTGTTTTATACCATGTTGGTATTAAGTAACTGAAGCTCTACAATTACTTTTTTTTTATTTTCTGTTGAGGATATTGTCATATAACTTCTGGTATAGGATGTACTGCTCTTTGTTGAGATGTGATGTATATCCAAGTAAATTAAATATTATTAAAACAACAAATTATGCATATTATGAGGAAACTGTCGTGTGTTCGCTTTAGCAAGGTATATATATACTGTATATAATAGTTAATGATAAATCATTGTGTAGGGGACAAGCAGCCAGAAATAGTTTATTACAACATACAAGCTAAAGAAAACAGTTCGGAAACTATGGAAATAAATCTGCCGAACAAACATTAGAAAGTCCACTCTTGCAAACATTGGTAGACGGTTGGAACTAGTCAGAAGGTGGTGGAGGCCAAAACACTGATTTTAGTGCTGATAGGTTCATGTGATTACCATAATATATAGATGTTAAAGCAGGAAAGCCTATTTATTCATTAAATTGTATATGATAAATTAAAAGAACCGAACTTACTTATTATTTGAAGACATGTGCTTATTATATGATATTGTGTCATCTATTTATTCCAATTCTTAACATTACCAGCTTCTTTTGCCTTGTTTTTGGTAATTTTATTGTCTTTTTTGGAAGACGAGAACAACAGCGAACACGAGCCAGCGCATACGATTTCGCATATATACGAAAAGGTTCGTGTATACAAAATTGTCCGTGAGTGTACTATTTTTTTTTATTAACAAGCTTGGGTATACACAGCAATGTCTGCTACCTTATTCTATATGAAAGATTACAGAGTGTAGATAAAAAAAACTAGCTATAATTTCATCTAATATTCCCATCTTAAGTTATACTCCATCCTCCCCAGGGGCGGTAGATTTCCCAACTTTAATCGCCGTTATTAAGTGGTGGAGGCCAAAACCCGAATTGCACACCGATTTTAATGCTATGTTGATGTAATTATCATTATATGATAATTATTCGTAATTATGATAATTATAATTATCATATGATAATCGTGGTTGTGTCGTCTGTTTAAGATGTTGAGCCTGTATGGCCAAGCTTACTGTGAGATGACGATATTAAGTAATACCTCAAATAGTAAAGAGTAGTACCATATTGTTATTTAGACCTAAAAGTTGTAATCATAAAACAATTTAAATCTACTATATAGGCCATTCAAGTTCCTACTGTCGTGTTATTCCGTATATACAAGAGATTAAACAGAGCCATGAGCTAGATTAATGTGCTGAGTCCATAAGGAGGCTGAGCTTCCGGAAATACCTTCCTGTGATTGGCTGTTGCGGGGAATACCAACACTCTTTTATGAATACAATTGTAACTAAGAAATAGGTCCTTGTGCACAACAACAAGGTTGTTGTGAAAAAGAACAACAATTTCTGTTTTGCACCTGACAGAAATCTCCATCTAACTGAATAATTTACTCAAATAAGAGGGCAGAGCAGCGTATCATTATTTGTGTCAAGGCAACCCCCAATAATAACGTCTCAAGTTAGGTAGCCAGCCCATTTTTATATAACATTTGTTATATCCTGCAATATTTAATTATCACTTTATTGACACTTTAAATAATTAACACTTCACTTTTTGGGTAAATTAAAGTTAAAGCAGAATTCCATAAGCATGACTGGTGGGCTGAACTAAGATTATTTACTAAGTGTATGGCACCTTTAGCTGATCCCTTCCTGTGATTGGCTGTTGTGTGAATGTCAACAAAGAGCTTCTACCAATGATATGCCATTGATTATGCACTCCATACTACTTGTGGGCGGAGCTAGGAACTTCCTACCCGAGCACAACAACCCGCCTTATGGGTTGCTGTTTGGCTATTTATAGTGCGTTGGAAAAAATAGAGATGGCGTTAGTGGTATTTCGTGGGGTAATTTGTTATAAGTGTAATTTGATGTCAACAGATGGCGTAAGCTGTATCTTATGGCTATTATTGACCAGCCAGTTAATAGTGTTCTTATCTGCCAACAGATGGCATCAGCTGTATTATTACTTCCAAATTCCCTTAAACACCGATCTACAAAACCAGTAGCTTATGAAAAGGGTTTTATACCATGCTGGTATTAGGTAACTGAAGCTCTACAATTACTTTTTTATATTTTTGTTGACGATGTATATCATCGTATAACGTCTGGTTAGGATGTACTGCTCTTTGTCGAGATATATGTCCTAGTAAATTAAATATTATTAAAACAACAAATTATACATATAATAACATATACCAACATAAAAAAATACTTGGATATATTGAAACTTGGTAGTGAATTCCAATTTAGGAATCTCCTATGAGGAAACTGTCGTGTGTTCGCTTTAGCAAGGTATACTGTATATAATTGTTAATGATAAATCATTGTGTAGGGGACAGGCAGCCAGTATATATATATATATATATATATATATATATATATATATATATATATATATATATATATATATATATATATATATATATATACATGTTAGGTTTATACCGAGGTGCCACAACGGTGGCACTAACTATGGAGTGAGACTGGGAGGTGCCAGGGCCGGCCCTAAGGGTGATGGCGGCCCGGACAAGCTGAACTTCCCCGCCCTTACAAGCAACATTTTGTAAGACTGTTCACAAGGAGGAACAACTGTAAATGTAGGAATAGTTTATTACAACATACAAGCTAAAGAAAACAGTTCGGAAACTATGGAAATAAAGCTGCCGAACAAACATAAGAAAGTCCACTCTTGCAAACATTGGTAGACAGTTGGAACAAGTGAGAAGGTGGTGGAGGCCAAAACACTGATTTTAATGGTGATAGGTTGATGTGATTATCGTAATATATAGATATTAAAGCAGGAAAGCCTATTTATTCATTAAATTGTATTAGGAAAAATTAATAGAACCTAACGTACATATAATTTGAAGACATGGGCTAATTATATGAAAATGTGCCGCTTATTTATTCATATTAACTTAGTATCAACTTCAATTGCCTCGTTTTTGGTCATTTTATTGTCTTGGAAGACGAGAACAGCAGCGAACACGAGCCAGCGCATATGTATATACGAAAGGGTTCGTGTACAAAATTGTCAGTGAACGAACCGTTTGTGTACCGAATCGACGTTATCGAAAACGCTTATATACGAATCGACCAGTCAACCCCCCCCCCCTGGGAATTAGACTATTGCTTTGGGGTTGATACAAGCCTGAAGTATTACACAGGCTTCCTGTCCCCAACAAAACGATTTATAAACCTTAAATTGATTAACATTTGGTTTTAGATCGTAGCGGCTACATCAGAATCTACAAGACTCAGCCCTCAGGTAAATTCAGGTCTTCCGTATTCTGGACAGTTGCATATTTGTAAATAACCTCTTAATTAATGAGTTTATTATCAACTGAAAGATGGATCTGGTCACAGAAATACTCATAACAGTTAGACTTGTTTATTTAACACTTAAATATTACATACGACACTAAGCAAGAGGATTGATTTACTGGAAACAAGCAGTATATCGAAATTGGTACAATGACAGTGGAGTTTTAATTAAAGCAATGGAATACAAGCACACATTAATTCAGAATGCCCCCGATAATTCAACATCGGGTCTATTATCTATCACTCGATCTGAGTGTAAATGCACTTACACCACTTTGAGTGTAGAAACATTCGACATAGCTACTCCCCTCTGAATGTAGACATCTTCATCTACACTATTGATCTAAGTGTAGATACAATCACCTACACTGCCCTGAGTGTAATTACACTCGCCTACAAAATTTTGAGCGTATAAATACCCTCACCTACTTTTCTGAACATCGATACTCACCTATACCACTTTGAGTGTAGATACTCTCACCTACACTACTCTGAGTGTAGCAATACTAATACATACAATCCTCTGAGTTTAGAAACACTCATCTACACCACTCTGAGCGTATATACACTCACCCACTCATCTACTCTGTAGATACACTCATCTACACCACTATGAGTATATATACACTCTCCTACACTGCTCTGAACGTAGATACACTGACCTACATCACTCCGAGTATATATATATACACTCACCTATACCAGTGAGTGTACTAACAAATGTTACAGCCTATCATCTCAATACATGGGAATGAGTCTGCGAGATCTGTCACATCATTAAATAATACAGTACGTTTGGACCTCTGAAAATTCCTCTTGGCACGATAGTTAATGACAACATTAATCACAGAATGTTTAGTTACACTTAGACTAATTGTTAATATAACAAATAATTTACATAGGCAATAAAGAGTGCCGATACATTTACATATATAGCAAGAGACGAAGGCAACATAAGTACTCAGACATATAACACTAGGCTATGATAACACAAATACTTATAAAGTCCGCCTCTGGGGATAGTGGGCCTCAGGTAAAGATTTCCTCAGATATTAATTTAACATACCCAAATAGGGCTTAGCATTTCTCATCAAACGTAAACACAATAATGGTCCATTTAAATGAGAAGTTGGCTTAAGGACATCTAGGAAAATCCGACGGTGGTGTCTACATGCACTGAAGTATACAGGAGAGATAACAAAGTGAGTTAAGCTTAAGACAAAATCAGTAAAAACTCACTGATTATATATTGTAGCTTAAATGGTAACATATAAACATGATCTGAAGAGTTTGCCAGCACACATTAATTAATGTTTATTTTCTCCTGCCAGTTCCAGAATGTGGGAGAGTTCCCATTAATTATAAGCACACAACAGCTATTATTCCCTTTAATAAGTCATGCAACAATGATAATGAAGTTTAAAGTTATGGAAAGTTAATCATATTCATAATAAAAACGTCAGATATAGCTGTAAACAATATCCAATGCATGAGTGAAATTAATAATATCAGTGCATGCAAGTAGAGGGATCCTCATTTATATCACTATATAATGGCTGAAACTTAAAGATGCACACCAGTAACGGCCGGAACCACTTGGTCAGCCACTTCCGTCACTTAATTAGTTCCACAAATCAAGCACAATGCAATATTACTTTCACTCACAGAGAGCTCATCTAGATTGTAACTTTGCTAAATGTTCCTGAGTCCATTATGTGCCTCTGTAACCCTTTCCACCATCGTCCCAGGATTGGTATAGGGTACATAATAAATTAAATAACCTAAAAGAGATCAAAGAAATTAGTATAAGTACATACACACTAGTACTTTTAATTAACTACAACTTATCTAAACTATGATATAAAACGATGCTTGATAAATACAATAATTAATCTATAAAGGAAACTATGCACAGGAATATGTGCACCAGAGCCTCACTAGAGGCCCGAGGGAGACAGCATTCATAAGGACATAAGAATAGAGGTAACTGCAGAAAGCCTACTGGCCCATACGAGGCAGCTACTATTTATAATGAGCAGTAGTTCGCACTGCTCCTCCTGCTCCCAATACTCCTGGTGTATATTCTGTGCCCTGCTCCTCTTGTCCTCTCCAGTCCTTTGGTGAAACTGGCCTTAGTCTTAATGAGAGACTAAAAGAACACAAAAGAAGCGTTAAGTCTTCAGACACCAACAATGTTCTCTAGTGTCATGTATAGACTGGTCTTTCTAAACTAATCTTTTCCTGCTTCGACTACTCTTTATAGACGTAGTCTCGTCAAAATCGGCTCTCATACACATGCAAGAGGTCCTTTCTCATCACATTCCAGAGTGTTAAGTAAACAATTAATAAATTAATCATTATGTGCTGAAACAATAGTAAGAAATACCACATACATAGGAATACAATGCAGAACATTCCCTACATACAACAGCCAGCTTCCTGACCCCACTGATGCCACTTATAAAGATGCTGGCTCTTAGGTAAATACATATACAAACGTTACAATTGTAGTTATCATTTCGTATATACCTCATATAAGTTGTATAAATAATAATTTCGTATATACTCAAGATGGCTAAAAACATCAATCAATAAATAATAAAGAAATCTGGTTTTATTCCAAAAGGAGACGTGGTTCAGTATCTGGTACAGTGAACAGGTTCAACCTCTGGTACAGTGAACCTGTTCAACATCTGGCACAGTGAACAGGTTCAACATCTGGTACAGTGAACCTGTTCAACCTCTGGTACAGTGAACAGGTTCAACATCTGGTACAGTGAACCTGTTCAACCTCTGGTACAGTGAACAGGTTCAACATCTGGTACAGTGAACCTGTTCAACCTCTGGTACAGTGAACAGGTTCAACCTCTGGTACAGTGAACAGGTTCAACCTCTGGTACAGTGAACCTGTTCAATATCTGGTACAGTGAACCTGTTCAATATCTGGTACAGTGAACAGGTTCAACCTCTGGTACAGTGAACAGGTTCAACATCTGGTACAGTGAACCTGTTCAACATCTGGTACAGTGAACCTGTTCAACATCTGGTACAGTGAACAGGTTCAACATCTGGTACAGTGAGCCTGTTCAACATCTGGTACAGTGAACCTGTTCAACCTCTGGTACAGTGAACAGGTTCAAAACGGATAAAATGAACATGTTCTACAGCTGGTAATCTGAAGAAGTGAGCGGGAGAGGGCAACCCCATAACCTTGCTTATTTCTGCAGCTCCAGCAGGAGGCGCAAGAGAAGAGATGCTCCCATGACCAGGGCTGAAGAACCAAAGACATACATAGCGCCGGCACCGCCACCTCCTCCATTAGTAACTACAACGACAATAAAAAATTAAGATAGTTTATTGGTAAACTATTAAGCAAAAGTATTACTCTTATGCTTATTCTTACGCTAATCTCTATGTAGCTGTAGGTCTCAGTGCTTGTTTAATGCAAATCCTTAGTAGGAACCTGCAGTGGGAATCCTGAAGTAAAAAAATGCTTGATGTGAATACATTTACATTCCTAGCTAAAAAGCTAGTTTTTAGTTTTATTTTACACAAAATAAGAATTTACATCAAACAAAGCGGAAACGACTCTGTAAATTAAGCCTCAATTTCTTCTTCATTTTCACTCTAATTCTCAGACTGGTATTTTTCACAGTTCATAGGCTATTTGTGAGCAAATAATATTAACACAAAACCTAATATAAGCGATCCTAGGTATAACATACAAGTTTAGGCCTAATGTACATACACCATATGTACTACATTAGACCTAGGAGAGGGGTAAGGTTAGGAAGTGCCGTCTTCGCTGGACCTTTACAATATCAATTGTACAAAACTTGAACTTTTCTGTGTGCAACAATCCAGATTTTGTACACATACTCTGCCGTCACTATATGTACTACCATTTTTGGAGCATACATTAGGTTAATTTCCAATCTGTTAGCTTAAAAAATAAATACTCGTATCTTGGACCGTGTCAGAGATATAACGTTAAAGGCACATAACATTCAGACCGGCAAACAGAGAATTATATGCGAGGCTACTCACCACATTCGAGATCCACATCTGTCATGTTCATTCCGTCCTGAGTCTCCCAGCTCAAGGTTTCATTGCTGCATGTGAATAACAGTGATGTCACGTTGATGTCAGAGCGGTAGCCTGCAGCACACGCCACGCTGACCTGTGAAGGCGAGGTCACAGTGTTGTTAGAGGTCAGGTCTATAGCACACGCTGCCTGGTGTGCTTGTTAAGGCCGCAGATGTGCTTGTTGTTATCACCGGTGTGCTTGCTAAGATCACAGATGTGCTTGTTAAGATTACAGGCATGCTTGTTAAGGTCATTTTGCTTGTTAAAATCACAGGTGTGCTTGTTAAGATTACAGGTGTGCTTGTTAATATTTAAGATGGGCTTGTTAATAGTTAAGATGTGCTTATTAAGGTCACAGGTGTGCTTATTAAGGTCACAGGTGTGCTTGTTAAGGTCACAGGTGTGCTTGTTAAGGTCACAGGTGTGCTTGTTAACATCAAAGGTGTGCTGAGATATCAGTTGTGCTGATGTCACACGTGTGCTCTAGTGTAAAAGGGTACACCACCTGTGGGGCATCGGATATCGGGATGTACTCATTATGGCAAGTCTTCATGCCCTTCTGGTAAGTCTCCATCTGGTTGGGCAGGTGAGTCGCTGGAGGACATCCTCGGACACTCCCTGTGGGAGAGTCCTGCTAAGCCACAAATGTATCTTCTTTCTAACTTTAGGTATACTCCTCATATCCTCATATCACCATAAATTTTTTATAATTTCAGTCAAGGCGCTATTCCCGGGTTCTCATGTCAGATATATCTCTGAACCTTTGTACAGAGATTGTCTGTAGGTGGCAGCCACTTTGGAAAGTCCTTAACAGCAGAGGGTGACTGACATAGGAAGCCTTGGCATTTTCGTAAGGATGTTAATATCCTATTAATTTACTTTGGTTCTATTTATATGTATTTGAAGTGGATAACGATAAAATTATGATACTGTCTATTTTGGCCCGCATCAGTGCTTTCTATTACTTCTTCGCATTTCTTCAAACTTCAAAAAATATTCCCACATACCCCTAGTTGAAATCCGAAGCACATATACTGTTGCAAAGCCTTTGAACGAAGTGTAACGCCCAATCCATCCTACTCTTTTAAAGAAGCTTTTCCTAACATATTTCAATAACATGTCCATTATTTTGCCATTTTAACTACGGCTCTAAATCCTCGACTGGTGAGGGATTGTGTTGTTGTATCAGGCTCTGCCATCGCGTTGATTTTCGTCAACCCCTCAATCCCCCAGTAATAAAATTCCAATACTGAGTGAATCATAATTTTTGTAAACAGAAACAAGCGTAGTTTTGCTGGGTATTTAGACATATCAGTAAGTAGCTGATGACGCAGTGATATCTGCCAAGGTATTACCCCCCAACCCACCCTCGCTTCTGAAGCCTAACAATAGAGCAATGGATAGCTGAAATAAGTTTATTGAGGTAAAATACACACAAAGGGATGAAGTAGCTCAAGCTATTCTCACTCCCGTACCTCCGTGTTGTTTATTCCTTTCCTTCCCCCGCACGTCCCATCCCAAATCTTTATCCTGATCCCTTCCCAGTGCTATATAGTCATAATGGATTGGCACTTCTTACGGGCTCACCATAGCCCGTGCTGCATGGACACTTGGTTCTGAGTAGCTAAATCTAAAACAACAACAACTTCTGATAATTCCTTCCTTCCGTGCTGTCAAACATAATCTTGCGCAAGTACACATGTTGATGTAATCAGAACCGGAAATAAGAAATCTAGGAAGGCAACCTGTGGCAACTTACAAGAGGTAGCTGTGTTGTTGACGGTGGTGAGCGGGATGTAACTACCGTCACTCTTGCTAACACCAACAGTAAGTAGGTACTGGACATCGTACGGCGTGTCCTTCGTTATCTGTGGCAAGAGAGGTAGTGGCAAAAGGTACAGTTACCCGTTTACAATACAGAACTGGCAATACACTAAACAAAATCAGCCTAGTCTGAGAGACGAAGCTTGTTGTCCAGACAATGAAAAAAATATGGACTTTGTAATAGTTTTAATTGTAATATAATTATTATTATTACGATAATCAGTTGTTATATATTACATCTGGTTTCAAAATTTGCCAAGAAATTTTTGTGTATAGTAGTATAGATAGGCTTCTTGCAATGTTTGTCATTAATTCTAGACTAAGCTACACCCAGACTTAAGCTTACTGCCTGGCATCAGCCAGAGTAACAACTAGGCCAGCTCATATACTGCCTGGCATCAAAGGAGGAACAACTATAGACCAGACCCACCACAAAAGTGAAACTGCTGAAGGAGTAGGAGACAGATTTGTTCTTGTTGACAGTTCTCTTCCAGTGGCTGTCTGGGACTTTCTGGTAGTAGTCTTCCAAGGTTGTGGAGTAGAGGCCGGCCTCGACGCTGGGCTCCGGGAACACGGCGGACACACTCGCCGACACACTGAAGGTGCAGCCTGCTACGGTACTATTTTGAGCGGTGGATATATTGTTGGCGGTGGTGTCTGGAGCAAGGAGCACGAGCAATGTTAAGCCGGTTCATGACTTGTTTCAACTGTATACCAGTATGAGCCTAATTGGTATTATTGACTTCCAAATTAACATGGGTTTTATAGTCAAATTAATTATAGTTTTTATAGTGAGCTTTATTTTTACTTTAACTTGATGATATTTTAATTTGAGCCATTTTAATTTCAACGATAATTCCGTTAGAAACAAATATGACAATCAGGAGGGCAGGTCTGTCTTTAAATTTAAGTGATCCTAAATGCCAACATGGACCTGGCTTTATAACTAAGATGATAGGCATCTGGTGGCCCATCGCCCCCTATTGGTACTGTCGATCAAGTAGTTACTGTAGGTCCTTTCATTTTGGGAGGAAGGGCTGCATTCTGTATAGTATTCTTTTGGGTTTAATACTGTCCTAAAGGAAGAGGAACTCAGTGAGTGTTTCGCTGGCGTAGGAACTCACCAATGATAAGAATTTCCCATGTCTCCGAGTCGGCAGTCTCACCCGTGGTGGTATTCACGGAGCAGGAGTAGAAGCCTCCCAGGTCATACCGGAGATCTGTCAGTTCCAGGTTCCCGTCTTCCCGGCTCAAGTTAACTACGCCAGACAGACTACCATTGGCTGTGCAGGGAGAGACGGAGTAGTGGGTAGAGACCTAGAATAGCGGCATTAGTAGTGATTAGAGACCTAGAGTAAAGAGAGCAGTGGTACGCATCTCTGAAAATAATTTGTGCACCTTCGGTAAATACAAATAAGTGACAGGGGAAAGACCATAAGCTATATCGGGAAGATTTAGCACTACCTGTCCTTGGACCTATGAAACAAGATAATATAACTAACTAACCTACTCCAGGCATCCCTGGAGACCATTCGTAGGTGCCGGAGGCCTTGTCGCCATTCCACAGAGTCCAGGAGATCGACTGGAGAGTCTCGTTTTGTTCCAGCGTGTAGGGGCACTCAAGAAGGCTGTTATCCGTGTCCTGTCCTTGGTATGAGATGTAGGTGTTGTTGCTGGCCAGTTGTATTGGCCACACCTTGACACCCGTCGTCAGTCCTGTTCCGGTACACATAACTTTGTTTTGTTAAATTCCCTTAAGTCAATAGTTATAATACACGTATTTGAAGTTGTAAAAAATGGGGTTTATGTTCCTTTGCACATCACGTCTTTATAAATTGTTTTTTAATGTTGAATTTGCAGCACATTACATACCATAATGATGCAAGACTCGACTAGCTTTATAATTGCGATAACATGATGAGTGGCGTAAAAACTCGTACGTAACCCATTTCCAGGCTACGAATGTGCAGAGAAATAGTATGTTAATCAAATTCATCTGACGGAGCATTATGGTGAGTGAATTCATCTCGTACTCACCGATAATTGCAAAGAGAGGGAGGGTGAGGGACAAGGCTGCCATGATAGTCTCGAACCGCCAGGAGTGCTACAGGAAGATACCGGAGCCAGTACGTCTCCTGAGGGGAACAAGGGACGCTCTTCCAGGTAGCAGATAAACACCTAAAATTGCCATTAGTATCATAGACATCACATTAACATCAGTGTTATACAGAGATAACATTAGCCTCATTATTATAGACATAATCATTAACATGCGGACTTTAGTGTAAACTGGAAACAATTAACTGATCTTGGTTTGTGTGTTTCACTATTACTATGAATCAAATTCCCTTTCTAGTACAAAACACTGCTTTGTTTACCTCTGTACGCAATACTGCTGTGTTCCTATGTACGGAACACTGCTGTATCTGCCTCTGTACGGACCACTGCTCTTATCTTTCTTTGAAATTGAAATTGAAATACGTTTATTGAGGTATAAACAGGCACCAAGGGATGAGGCAGCTGCTCAGTGTTGAAGTTACCACATCGTGCGCCCGGGGCGGCAGACTTATTATGTCCCGGTTGAAATTAATTAACATTAATCTTTCACTTAAGCGTACGTGATTATCACTTGATCTTTGTCCTTTCCAAGACAGGTAATTATAAGTTTTGAAATGTAAAATTATGGAACTCGGAGTGAAATTGTGAAGATTATTAGGAACTTAACCCACTTACACTTAAGTGCGTTAATGTAGTTGTTGTTGTTTTAGATTCAGCTACTCAGAAGAAAAAGTTCCAAGTAGCACGGGCTATGGTGAGCCCGTGGTGGACTAACCTGGCACAGGAGTAGGGCTGCAACTGGTTAATGTAGGTTAAAAACTGATTTATATTAGGCTTTTCTGGCGATGTTCCACGTATCATATTTCAGACTTGCTTGTAGCAGAGTAGGCTACTAAGAACCAATTTATGTGGTTATATTATTATGTGCCGATATAACATTCTTACATCTATTCTGTTTGTTTTCTTTATTATTTAATATAGAATATAAAGATCATATTTACATTAATTTATTGCTTTTAAAAATGCCTAAAAAATACACAAAAGTGCTCAAGCTCTGGGACTATTCTACCCATTCACTCCGTACAATCAATATTAGTTCACTTCTAACTCGCTGTTGGTAGTTCAGATCCCCCAGTGAACTTGTGGTTGGTAGTTCAGATCCCCAGTGAACTCGTGGTTTGTAGTTTAAATCACTAGTGAACTCGTGGTTGGTAGTTCAGATCACGCAGTGAAATTGTGGTTGGTAGTTCAGATCACGCAGTGAAATTGTGGTTGGTAGTGCAGATCCCCAGTGAACTCATGGATGATAGTTCAAATCCCTATTGAACTCGTGGTTGGTAGTTCAGATCCCCAGTGAACTCATGGATGATAGTTCAAATCCCTATTGAACTCGTGGTTGGTAGTTCAGATACCCCCAGAAAACTCAAGTTGTATTTTAACTTGTGGTTGTTCTGGGTAAAACATGGAATAAAGTGTCTGTGGTGTAGTGTGGGCGGGGTATGTGTCTTATTGACTCCCTACAACCTTGGCCGGGTCCAGGTAGGTCGGCCAGGTCGATACAATCACTACAGCGATTGTATCGATCTGGTCGTTAGAGCATATATAGCAATTACTTCTGCTCCACTTCTCAATATAATCACCAACAATTTGATATGACAATGGGGACTCCCATTAATGCTGTGCCAGCTAATAATATAATTGTGGATTCTTTCTTCAGTAACATTCCTATCATTTGGAAATATATTTGCTATGTTGACGATGTTTTCACAGTCACATCACTCCGTTATGACCTCGATAATTTAAGAACATACTCAATGAAATATGACAACGATCGAAATGCGACGTTCTTGTAAGAGGACAGAGTGTGTACGAAGTGTCCGAGGGAACACATTTACCTAAGCAAAATTAGCCTTCCCCCCCCTAAAAAAAAAATAGAAATATTTGCAGGTGTACATAACGGTTATTTTCAAGTTTCCCCATCGATGTTTGTATATAATCTGATATCTTTCTTACAAAGCGTAAGAGCTTGTATTAGCGGAAATGACCACGTGAGAACACTCTTAGCGACTGTTCCTGTGGTCGCGGCCCGACTTACCTGGTAAAAATGGTCGCCAGCCGCGGTTGTGCTCAAGCCAAGGAGGCGTCTCCATGTTTACACGCAACTTTCCCGGGACCAGAAGAGGGTATGTACACCTTAAAGTGTACCACGCTTCTCGGTGTGTGTGTATATATATATATATATACTGCGTTTACTTTAGTTGTGAAATATGCGGAGGACTAATTTAAAGTATACATGTTGGTTGGACAGCAAGCTGGTGTGGACATAGTGCGACTGTTGCCGCCTGCGGCTGGGGACCGCCAGACATCCCTGACAGGAGTGTGACCATCACGTGTCCATACTGGCAGCTTCACGGGCCCACACTGACACCACACCTGTCACATTTATCGCCTGAGGCTACAGGTAAGTTCATATAATTTTTCAAATTTTCCAGTTGGATCTTCAGGCGTATATCCGGCTTGGCTGAGAAGTGATGGAGGTTGGCGGGTTGTAGGCCCAGTGGGTACTATATCCAAGACTATCCACTGGGCACTCTTCATCGTTGTTTTTATTAAAATTAGTCTTATGTAGTGCCCAGTGGGTGGTGTTCCCTCGGGCCGTGGTGGGCTCTCTGCGTTTTTACCCGACTGCTTGAATTTAGGTTTCACCGCCATAACATTAGGCTGCGACTTTATTCGGCTCCTTGGACTTAGCAGGACTCTTATATCGTCTGGAGTCACAGGGTGTTGATAGTTTTCTGTCTCCCAGTGGCCACAATATCCAGGAACAACGCCAATCCATCGTCGTACCAATGGCACTCATGGATATTGAACCCACTTTATTTATCTTTATTTAATAAAATATAATATAAATCATATATATATAAATTTACCAGGCAATACTACATTACATATATAGTAGTATAATTCTCAGTAAACAAGTGTTTCATATTATCACAGAACATGAACTTTATACTCCTAAATGTTATATTTATTTTTCTCTAAATGATTTAAAATTTTAGAGATTATATTTACATTAATTTACAGGGGAAATTATTATACATGTGCTGTCCTGGACCCTAAATCAACAGCAGCAAATTTGTATGTTTTTTTTAGTGAGATGATCATTAAAAAAAAATAAGCAAAGGAGATTATTACTATAAAGTTAACCATCAAATGGCTAAAAATTGCTATAAAAGTCATCTAAAATCACAATACAATATTGCAGGTGATTTTGCGCTGCATATTAACAAATCACACATATTCTTGATGCCTCAAAATGTATATAATATTTAGTTTATTACCCATAAAACTTTCCAAATACCATTCTTGACTCAAACATCCAGTAAGTCAACATTTTGGTATGGTGCTGGATTTAAGTCTATTAAACGCTGGAGGGTTGTTAAGACCAACACAATAATTTACTAAGATACCTTATTTATTATTAACATCGGTGAGTATGCTTTGGTCCGGGACCATATCTAAGACCAAAGTTAACTCAATATACATACACCGAGCTGTGTGCATCTTTGGGTGTATATACATGTACATAACCTTACTTATGCAAAATTAGTAATGACTGCAGACTTCTGATAATTACGTACATAAATATTTGCTTCTGTAACAACATTTGCCAAATAACGTGCGACCAATGACCGTGTGGTTGTGTACCTAATGTACAAAGAACACATTTAGTAATGTGTTCTTCGCTACTTCATGTCTTTTATAAACCACCCACATTACCTGTTACTGATAATAGTCATTAGGATAATCGGATTTTAGCTAAACCCGTGTTAAATTACAGCGCAAATATACAACCAATTTTTAAATTAATAACTTGAGTTTTTGTTTTATATTTTCTTCTCGAAGATTGTATATGTCTTCGGAAAGTCAACTTGTCCTCACGATGCCATTCTTGAAATAATAAGATGATCGAGCAAGGTTAATATCGGAGGTGTGTCTTAACCTCCTAATATTCATATTTAACACTACTGTAAGGACGCATTTTTTTATATAAATCGATAATGTAAGAATTATGATAAATATTTCCTAAATGTTAGTTTGTGAGCTACAAGCTGCACTCGTTTTGTACCAGGTATCTACACCCGCACACACCTGTACTTAATATCCATCATACACACCTGTCACTAGTCTCCAAGACCACATATCTGTACCCGGAATCCACGTCCACACTCACATATACCCAATATCCACGCCCACACCTGTACCGAATATCCTCGCCCACACCTGTACCGAATATCAACGCCCACACACCCGTACCCAATATCCACGCCCACACCTGCACACATTACTTGAAGCTGGTCAATACAGCCAAGGGCCTGAGTTTAGCCTGAGCGAAGCTGATGCCTTAATAATGACGAAAATGGCCATGAATTTAGTGGCCATTGATTTATTGGGCTCGCGCGTGATATACTGACCATGTCTCAATTATTAAATAAAAACTAATGCCAACAAATTAGCTCTCCGGATCTGACACGTGTGTTCTTTTCTGTCCAATACCAGTTTCCACAAATTGCCGGTCCCTACTACCTGTCAGCCCCCATTAACTACCAGCCCCACTAACTACCAGCCCCCACTAACTACCAGCCCCCATTAACTACCAGCCCCTATTACCAGACCCCCAATACTGCCAGCTCACAGTAACTAATAGTCTCCATTGACTTCTAACTACCACTATTTTCCAGCCATCTAACTGCCACCCCCTACTAACTTCCAATAGACCTATTGTATATACCTGGAAAATAAAGTAGGCCTACTATATATTCCTACTATATAAAGTAAGCCTATTGCATATACTTGTAAGATAAAGAAGGCATATTGTATAGTCCTGCAAGATAAAATAGGCCTACTGTATATCCCGGTAACAAAGTGTGCCTACTGTATATTACTGCAACATAACGTAGGCCTACTGTATATTTCCGCGAGATAAAGTACTGTATATTCTTGCAAGATAAAGAAGTCCTACTATATATTCTGCAAAATAATGTAGGCCTACTGTATATTTCTGTAACAAAGTAGGCTTTATGCATATTACTGCAATATAAAGTAGGCCTACTGTATATTCCTACAAGATAAAGCAGGCCTACTGTATATTCGCCAAGGTGTAATTCATGTATGTTCTAGTAGACATAATCTCGTAGAATGTGAATGCAACATGAAAGTCTACATGGGATTGTTTGTACGATATTCGCTTTTCAACTGGAGGGATGGAGGAAAATTTAGGCTTGAGGGTAAAATATTAGTAGGCCTACATGTACTGCCGGCATGTAGGCTTACATGTGTGATATCATCTTACCTTACAAGGTGTTCAGTTTTGCGGCTCGGTGAAGTGTTGGAAATGATCTGGCGAGAATGTAGACATGTTCTTGGAAGACGTGTATGTGTGTCACTGTGTGAGTGCGTCAATACTCAGCTGAGTGCCAGAGGCACTGATGCCAAGGCAACCAAACTTGTTATGGAATGCAGGAGGAGCGCCCTGGTGGCCACTCTGTGAATCTCCCTCTCCCCCGTAACCCTTTACACACTAGGTGAACACAACTAGGAGAGTACGTGCAGGGAGCCGGTCAGGCAGTAACTTGTATTTCAGATTGTATTCTCGTATATTCCGCATTTTATCCATTAGTTGTATATTGTATGTCGATTTGTTTTTATAAAGTAAGCAGTAGATCACATTATATTGACACGATCTTTCACTTGCCAACGTGTACTTAACATATGCATTACTGTACATACAAAAACAGTAATGTCATTGCTACCACAATGACCCGATGTTACCTGTATACATGACAGTCTTACTATCACCTGTATACATAACTTTATTAGTGTCACCTGTATACCTAACCTTATTAGGTTTTAGTGACAGGAAATCGACAAAATTGTCAAAAAAGAATTCTTCAAAACTAACTTCAAGAACAAAAAGGTCACAAATTCCAATTAAGGAAACAAACCTGCCGAAGCATTAGAAAGTTCACTTTTGCAGAGTGGTAGACGGTTGGAACAATTCAAGTGAGAAGGTGGTGGAGGCCAAAACCGTCAGTAGTTTCAAAGCGTTATATGACAAAGAGTGCTGGGAAGACGGGATACCACGAGCGTAGCTCTCATCCTGTAACTACACGTAGGTAATTACACTTAGGTAATTACACCAAACGGCATGACATTCTTGGTTCAGAGAATTTATTTAAAAAAAATCAAAACTAACTTTATGTACAACTGTTAATCTTAACATATAACAAACATCGCATACAACAATCAATCTACACATTTAACAAACTTCACATACAACAACCAAACTCCACATACAACAATCATACTTCACATACAACAATCAATCTATACATACAACAATCACACTAGACATCTAACAGACTACACATACTGTACAACAAACCACAGGTGAAATAGTAGATTAAATATAATAATGACGGTTTGGAGTCAAACGAAACTCAACAACATATCCACTAATTCCGTGTTAAATATAAGAAAGTGTTGCGCAAAATTAGTTATTCAGAGCAATACAGAACAAATACTTCTCTTCAACTTTTGTATCTAGCGACGTGTTCCTGGTAAATACATAAACAAACACATAAATACATAATCACTGTAATGGTAAGGCCTCCTTTAACTGGGGTTATTCAAACTACAGTATACAGCCTCTTCATATATTTCTTGATCTTTATCAACACAGCAACCCGGTCTCAAACTTATAGCATCTGAAGACACCAGAATCTAAATTTCGATGGTTTAGTGGCATTAAAACTCTTCAATTTATACGTATTCTCAAACAAATGAGCCCCAACCTCAATAAATTAGGCGCGTTGAGCTAGGATGGTACGCTTAATTAAGCAAACACCACTAAACCACACTACCTGCCACCCAGAAAGTTGTTCTTGTAAACTGGATTAAAGACACTCTTAAAGCTTTATGTGGACCAAGTATTAGAGTGGATTTAATGAGGCTTTTAATGTTTCATATTGACATAAAATGCAAGAAAATTGAGAATATAATAATTATGTTACTTTCTGATTACATTTTTTGTGTGTGGATAGGCAGGCAGGAGGATTACTGTGTGTGGATAGGCAGGCAGAAGGGTTACTGTGTGTGGATAGGCAGGCAAGAGGGTTACTGTGTGTGGATAGGCAGGCAGGAGGGTTACTCAGTAGACAAAATATTGAAGTTCTTGCGAGGCAGGATCAAGTATAACATTTGGGGTTTACGGCTCATGCTCGGTGATGATATGAAAAATGTGTTTACTGAGAATTATATAAAATATATATAAATGTAATAATTTCCCCTGTAAATTAATGTAACTATAATCTCCAATTTTGTAAATCATTTAAAGAAAAATAAGTATAACATTTAGGGGTTTTAAAGATCATGTTCTGTGATAATGAAACACTTGTTTACTGAGAATTATACTTACTGTATATGTAATGTAGTATTGCCTTGTAAAACTTATGTAAATATGATTTATACTGTATTTTCTTAAATTAAGATAAAAAAAAAGAAATAATAATACATATTTATAGCAACGCTTTGATGGAACGTACACAAGTGGACTGTTGCCCCCAAAATAAACCAGGTTTTAGCGCATATATATGTACTAAATTAGACTTAAAATGGCGCATATTAGGATAGGAAAATCAGACTTTTTGTCAAGTCGTGAGACCAGACTGTATGTTTTCTGTGGTCAGTGAGCTTGGATCGAGCGAGATGTGTAGGAAATATCCCGTGGACACATGTGCACAGTATGTATACCATGGTTACCACTAGTTCATTTATTTATTAAAAGTAATACATATCTAATGCATATTGAATGAAGTTAAATTCATTAACCTTGCCTAATTCTGTAACTTCTGCGGAAAACATAGAAGAGCTGCTTGCATGAGCTAAGCTGAAGAACTAGTAATTCTTGTAGACCCAGCAGGAGGTTGCTTATATGACCTAAGTTGAAGAGCCAGTGGCTCTTGTAGACCCTGCAGGAGGTGTAGAAGAGCTGCTTACATGACCTAAGTTGAAGAGCCAGTGGCTCTTGTAGACCCTGCAGGAGGTGTAGAAGAGCTGCTTACATGACCTAAGTTGAAGAGCCAGTGGCTCTTGTAGATCCTGCAGGAGGTGTAGAAGAGCTGCTTACATGACCTAAGTTGAAGAGCCAGTGGCTCTTGTAGATCCTGCAGGAGGTGTAGAAGAGCTGCTTACATGACCTAAGTTGAAGAGCCAGTGACTCTTGTAGACCCTGCAGGAGGTGTAGAAGAGCTTCTTACATGACCCAGGCTGAAGAACTAGTGATTTCTGTAGATCATTCATCAGCAACTGTAAGGATTGTGAAGGTGCCAGCATTAAGACAAAGGCTATATTTTTTGTTTTTTTGTGTATGTAGGTTTTAATAATTTTTAAATTTAAATACATTACAAGAAAAGAAAATGTTTTCGTGAAAAAATGTTAGAAAAGGGTTTAAAGATGCTTTTATTAATTACACTAGAAAAATTAATTTGTTAATTTGATGTAGGAAAATTTAGGTTTGTTTAGATTACTTGGTGCGCATAAGGCAGAGTCCAACTGGGTTTACAACCCAATATAGCCTAGTGCGGAATTTTAACACGCCTCAGTCATATATCTTGGTGATAAGACGCTGGCGATTATAATTAATGAAACTTAAAATATAAGGCACTGGGTGGTATTAGTGGTTGGCTGGTGTGGAGTGTGGGGGGGGGGTGGCTTTTGGCTGGCAGGTATCAGGGGTGGCTGGCAGGAATAGGAGGTGACTGGCAGGTACAGGGGTGGCTGGCAGGTGTAGGAGGTGGCTGACAGGTGTAGAGGGTTGCCTGTGTTGGGTGTGTGGAGGGGTGCAACCATTAACTGTCACTTAAATAGGTAGGAACGTCCAGGTTGCAGACGTGTGTTATCTGCCATGTTTCCCCTGAATCCCCGCCCTAGTTTGAAGCCTAACAAATTTATTTATACCATCTTTGATGTGTTTTTTACGTTTATGATTGCAAATTATGTGTGTTGCAACCTGGGAAAGGGCATTATTTAACTAGTGGGACCTCGGCCACTCTAACAGGCTTCCCCTCCTTGACAGTACTGTAGTAGTAGAAACAATGGTATTAACGACAGCAATGATACTAGTACACAGAGACAATACTCACGACATTGAAGGTCCACATCAGTCATGTTCTCGCCGTCTTCAGTGACCCAGTGGAAGGTTTCACTGTCGCAGAAGAGGACCAGAGGAGTGACAACGGTCTCAGAGTGGTAACCCTCAACACAGGTCACGTTCACCTGTGTACGACAAGCTTCTTACTGTATGCTCTAGAACACTTCATGCGCTCTCATGCAACACTTATGATGAGGCTGAGTCACTATACTATATTGACCGAGTATAACTTACTTCCCGGTTACGAAACCATAAATATCAGTTAGTCTAGTGGAATAAGTGTAACTGTTTAGAACCTAAAAAGAAAGGAAGAATGCAGTGGGCCTATTGGCTTCCGAAAGGCAAGAATACTTCACGTAAGGCACAGGCTATGGTGAGCCCTTAATGCTGATCTCAAGTGCACCTTATGCTTAAATAGTACTGTACCTGAGGTACGCCTTCCCTGGGGATGTACTCGTTGCGGCAGGTCTTCCTCCCTAAAGAGTATTCCTCCACCTGACTGGTCACGTTCAACATAGCAGGACATCCCCGAAAGTGCCCTGTGGGAGAGTCCTTCTCTGTTACCTGAACATCATTTGTGTTGAGCTTCATGCTTACTGATATCTTAACTCTCCAGTATGTTATCTTGTTATTGTACTTTAATTGTTCATTGTCTTTAAAGTTACTCATTTAATTTCCATAAATTTGTTTCGTTCTGGAACTCAAGGGAGAGGACAGAACAATGAAAATAGTTTGTTATGCGTAGCAAAGTCGTTCATTGAAGTTCTCCGTCTTATATATATGTACCAAAACCATTATATTTATAGTATTTTCAATGATTAATGTGGATCTATCTCTCAATACACGCAGAAACAAGTGGAAACAAAATACATGTTAATAATAAATGTCAATACTTAACCTTTAGAACATCACCAACTCACAGTCAATCTCATCAGTGACTATTTCCGTTAGAGGGATGTAGCTACCGTCAGATTTGGTGACACCGTAGGTAAAGAGGAATACAACGTCATAAGGAGTGTCCTCGTTGAACTGTGAGAAAATAGAGCAATATTCGTGTCATGATTTATACGTGGACTCTAGATTACTCTGGGTATTATATATACACCCATTACATTGAGTGTCTGTATACTATTTTTGCTATGTTGGTTAAATGCATCTCTAAATGGTTTACGCACATAAGACCATGGTAACTGCAGAGGGCCTATTGGCCCATACGAGGCAGCTGCTATCTATAACCACCCAATGCCACTCATATACATGTCCAACCCACGCTTGAAACAATCCAGGGATCCCACCTCCACCACGTTATATACTGCAGTTACAAATAATTACAACCAGGACCATAACACCTAACCTAACTTTTTCCTAAGAAAAATTATACTCAAAATATCAAAATATCAAAATAAAAAATACGTGTAATATCTATTTATAACTTATAAAGTATTGTTTTTGTTTACACAATACGTTAAATGAATGAGTGGGTCATTTGGGTCGGGCGGCCGGCTGCGGGAGGGTGCTTGGTCGAGCAGCAGTACCGGAAGGGAGGTGCTGGTTACATGGTTCTCCAGCAGTATTTTCTGGGTACTTGTGGTGAAAGATTGTGTGTATATGTGTTCTAGTGCCTGGCTCGTGTGTCACTACCTCCCTAAGGACTGTGGTATAGCGAAGACGTGGGTAAGTGTTTGATTCCTGTTAGTAGCTAGCTGTTATTGGATGTGTAAGTGGTGCAGAGTACAGCTTTTATGGACTAGGATAGCCATACGGGTAATTGAGTATACATAAATTTGAATAATTCATATAATATTGGCATAAGATAATTTAGTGATTTAATGTGTAATACAGTATGCAAAGCTAGCAAGGTCAGGCCTAAGCAAGCCTATTTTAGGGCAATACTAGCATACAGAGGCTGCCTGGTTGTATTGTGTTAATAATGGTAAAGATCCCTTATTTTCCTCGCCTTAACATGAGTAACATTTCCCCCTTTTTCCCCTTAGAATGAGAAATATTCTAATTATTCTCCCCTTTGGCTTGTCTAAATATCGAGTACTCTCATTTCTGGAAACACTACAACTTTGTTAAATAGTTTACAAAATGGGGAAATGTTGTAGTCATCAGCCCCCCTACCCACCACCCCCTCCTTGCGTCGACAAGCTTTTTTCCATGAATCCTGAGAAAATCCATCATTGAGTACAATATGTCGCATCAGAGTAGTGAAAACAATTAAGGCTCTCGTGGGATACTTCCCCAGTGCTGAGAAAGATTCCGACTTACTTGAAATAAAACGTTTCTATAGGAGTAAGCGACAGAGGTGTTTTCGTAAAGAACTTTGTTCCACTGGCTGTCTGTGACCTCATCGTAGAAGCCGCCCGAGGTCTCAGAGTACAAGCCTGCGTGGGCTGTAGGCTCCGGGAATACAGCGTACAGATTAGCGGACGTGTTGAATGTGCATGGAATTTCGAAAGTGTCTTGAAATATCATGATCAGCTCTCCAGAAGTCGTGTCTGGAAGGCGGAGGAGGGGAGGGGTGAAACAGTATTATCTGCAGTGATAACCACTGACATTTTCAATATTAAATATGTGAGAGATCAAAGTTTAAATTGTAATACTTTGTCTTGATTAGTACATCATGCATCTGCATTAAAATTGCATCTCCTTTCTTAATTTGGAATAACAGACATATAAATTTATACTTTTTGTTTGTACAAACTTAAATTTTAGAAACTGGAGAAATTAAATGTTGAAGCAGGAGTGTTTTTTTAAGTACTTGCAGGAGTCTTTTCTCAAACAGTACATTACAAAACAATCCAGGGTAAATAAAATCTTAGACCTAATGTTAACAGGGAAGTTGAACATAAATAAATCACGTTCGATATTACATGTGGAAATTGTGCAAGTAGCCTAACAGGATCCTGGATTTGCATAAAGCTGATTTTAAGAGATGAAGGCAGGACCTGATGCCTGTATCTTGGGCTACCGTGAACCCTGAGGGGTGGGCAAGTGCACTTAAATTATATTAGAAGTGAGAAAGGCCTGTATAAGCTAAAAAACTGTCAAATTAACAGGTCGGCGTCTGACTGCGCAATCCAATACTCACCAATTATAAGAACTTCCCATTTCTCCGAGTCGACAACCTCGCCCGTGGTGGTAGTGACGGAGCAGGAGTAGAAGCCTCCCAGGTCATACCGGAGTTCTATCAGTTCCAGGTCCCCGTCTTCCCGGTTCTCGTTAACTACGCCAGACAGACTACCATTGGCTGTGCAGGGAGAGAGGGAGTAGTGGGTAGAGACCTAGAATGGAGGCAGAAGTGTTTAGCGATGGTTGGAATAGAGATAACAGTAGCTGAAGGTCGAATCTACAGTCTCCTGGTCAGTGTACTCTATCACACAGCTCATTACACACGAAAGAGCAATATAACCAACTAACATTTTCCAAGTTCCTCTGGAGACCACACGTAGGTGCCGACTGCGTCCTCGCCACTCCACAGCGCCCAGGAGATAAAGTCTACAGTCTCGTCTTCCTGGAGGGTGTATGGGCACTGGATAACGCTGAGCTGTGGTGACGACTCCAGCTCGTAGGCGATGTAGGTACGGTTGTGTATCAGGTTTATGGGTCCCACCTGCACCCCCGCCGTCACACCTGTGCCCTCGCAAAAAAGGTTTCTTTGTTAAATCACTGTTTATAACACAAGGTAGAAGCTGTCAATAGGGTTTTCAGGCCTTTGGGAGTCTGATTTCACACTCACCAATAATTGCCAAGAGCTGGACGGTGAAGGGGAAGGCAGCCATGACAGATGTGGGCCGCGCCGCCAGGAGTGCTGCAGGAGGATGAGGCTGCAGCCAAATATTACTGTTATTAATACCCGGCCTTCAGTCGCACGGGCCCGGAGATAATGGTGCCAGGGGAAATGTTCCCAGGAGTAGGGAAGATAAGAGGGAAAAGAGGAGGACGAGGAAGAAAAGAGGAGGCAGTACAAGAAGAGGAGAGAAAGATAAACATGTTGACATAGAGAGCGTGTACAGAGTTCTCACGGACCAGGAATGTAAAAAAATAGTTTTCAGTATTTTAGAATTGGTAAGAAATATAATGTTTGGAAAAATATGTATACACACCCACCTGGGCTCTCGGGGAATCGAACCCAAGACCAGTGTATGGATCAACTTTAGGTTCTGTCATATTTGTTATAAATGTGAATAAGGAGACAATGAGTGTTACCCAGCCGGCACCGGGGCTCCCTGGAGCCTGGCCGAGGTGACCAGGTGCAAAGGGCGCCCCAGAGCCGGCCACGTGTACACTTCAGCGCTGTCTCAGTACCACCACCAACCCCACTTATCGTGCCCACCTGGATCACCAGGCGGTTTCACACGGTTAAATATGACTCACATCAAACGGCCATGACCTGGCACTTGACGATGTCTGTGACGCCTGTCTGACCCTCTCACATTGATCACCGCTACTCTGGCGATATACTCCGTCTCTATATTTTACACTTGGGCACCCTCCATAACCTGTGCAAGGGAGGGAAGGAGAGGGTCAACAATGCCCGAAACTGTTGGAAGCTGCCATTGTGGTGTCAGGCCAGGACTGACAGGAGTCACCTGCGGTGATGCCGCTATCATGAAATCAAATCAGCTTGGGTTCTGGGTTTCCCGTGGTTGAGAAGTGGCAACAGAGGGGTGAATCACCCAGCCATAACCAGACGTTAATATTTCTTGGAAAAATTATCATCATTCTGAGTAACATGAAATTTAGTTTAGCTAAACACGAGTAAATACTGGAGTCATTTGACTACCAGGAAGGTCTGCTCCGGGCAGAGTAGGTCACCGGCGGATGCTTTATACACATTATGATTTGCAAGCGCATTTTTCTGCAATATATTTCACATGTCTGGTGAGGGACAGATTATCATAAATCACTACACCTCCATATACTCCGTAAATAACTGCCCATCCTCCTAACATTGACATGTACAAACATGTCCTGTTGAACCCCCATAATAGTACGTTTTGTATTATTGAATTACCCCAAATGACACGCTAAAAAATTGCAAATATAACCAAAGAAGCTAACCTGTCAAGCACTCGTATGATAATATGTGATATGTTAGGCATAATACACCACATATATGTGCTATACTTGACCTAGGAATGTTTAAGTTAGGCTTTGGGATTTTTTTTTTCGTACGGTTGCGGTAAAGTTGCTGTAAGTCCTGTCATTTTTGGGGGACGGGTTGAGAAGCTCTTGGGATTTGCTGGTGTAAAACATATGAAACAACATTGGTTGCGAATTGGCAAGTACTATGTGGAAATATTATAGTTGCAACGAATATGTTGTCAAATAGGAAATTGACCCCGTTTCAGAAGGATGTAATAATCAATTACAAAATTTTGTCTAAAGTGTGGTATTTGTCTTACAGCTTTCCAATTGACAAGAAGAGTGCTATGGAGATTGACAAAACTATTTTTAGATATGTATGGTATGGTAGATACAACCAATTAAACGGACTACTCTATGTAAAGGTAAGAAAAACGGTGGAATAGGAATACTGAATGTGTACCATAAGTCATTGGCAATCTTATGTGTTACCTTTAGAAAGGAGATAATGCAGAGGAATAGTGCAAATGCGCTAGGACATTACTTTTGTAAATTACGTGTTAGCTACTTGATACATATGCCAGAGTATACTGACCATGATACATATGCCAGAGTATACTGACCATGATACATATGCCAGAGTATACTGACCATGATACATATGCCAGAGTATACTGACCATGATACATATGCCATAGTATACTGACCATGATACATATGCCAGAGTATACTAACCATGATACATATGCCAGAGTATACTAACCATGATACATATGCCAGAGTATACTGACCATGATACATATGCCAGAGTATACTAACCATGATACATATGCCAGAGTATACTAACCATGATACATATGCCAGAGTATACTGACCTTGATACATATGCCAGAGTATACTGACCATGATACATATGCCAGAGTATACTGACCATGATACATATGCCAGAGTATACTGACCTTGCCTTTATTTCACCGCACTTTTATTCATGTGCAATTGATGTTCTCATGGGGATTTGTAATATTGAAGGTTTTTTAATGATGAACAGTAAACAAGTGTATGATGTTATACTGCCAAATATAGTTCCTAGGGTAGAGGAGGCATATCCACTCTTTAGCTTTTTTTATTTTTATTTAAGAAAATACAATATAAATCATATATACATAAGTTTTACAAGGCAATACTACATTATAATTCTCATTGAACAAGTGTGTCATTATTACAGAACATGATCTTTAAAACCCCTGAATGTTATATTTATTTTTCTTTAAATGGTTTACAAAAATTGGAGATTATATTTATATTTACTTACAGGGGAAATTATTACATTCTTTAGCTGGCAAGTAATATGGGCAAACCTTCATGTTAAATTTATTGCCCCAAAACAACGTGAGCTGTTGTATGGCTATATTCATAGGCATTAAAGACAACAATAGGTGTGACCAATGTACTGAAATTGAGAATAATATGCATATATTTTATTTCTGTAAGCAGAAAGTTGTTCTTGTAAACTGGATTAGAGACACTCTTAAAGCTTTATGTGGACCAAGTATTAGAGTGGAGTTAATGAGGCTTTTAATGTTTCATATTGACATAAAATGCAAGAAAATTAAGAATACAATAATTAAGTTACTTTCTGATTACATTTTTTGTGTGTGGATAGGCAGGCAGGAAGGTTACTCAGTTGACAAAATATTGAAGTTCTTGCGAGGCAGGATCAAGTATAACATTTGGGGTTTACGGCTCATGCTCGGTGATGATATGGAAAATTTGTTTACTGAGAATTATATAAAATATATATAAATGTAATAATTTCCCCTGTAAATTAATGTAAGTTAGGCGCGTTGAGCTAGGATGGTACGCTAAAGCAAGCCTCACTAAACCACACTACTTGCCACCCAGAAATAATAATACTTATAGCAACGCTTTGATGGAACGTACACAAGTGAACTGTTGCCCCCCAAAATAAACCAGGTTTTAGCGCATATATATATGTAGTAAATTAGACTAAAAATGGCGCATATTAGGATAGGAAAATCAGACTTGTCAAATCGTGAGACCAGACTGTATGTTTTCTGTGGTCAGTAAGAGTGGATCCAGCTAGTTCATATATTTATTAAAAGTAATACAATTTTAATGCACATTGAATGAAGTTAAATTTATTAATCTTGCCTAATTCTGTAATTTCTGCGGAAAACATAGAAGAGCTGCTTGCATGAGCTAAGTTGAAGAGCCAGTGGCTCTTGTAGATCCTGCAGGAGGTGTAGAAGAGCTGCTTACATAAGTTGAAGAGCCATTTGGCTCTTGTAGATCCTGCAGGAGGTGTAGAAGAGCTTCTTACATGACCCAGGCTGAAGAACTAGTGACTTCTGTAGATCATTCATCAGGAACTGTAAGGAATGTGAAGGTGTCAGCATTAAGACAAAGGCTATATTTTTTTATTTTTCTGTGTATGTAGGTTTTAATAATTTTTAAATTTAATTATATTACAAGAAAAAAAATATTTAAGGGAGAAAATGTTAGAAAAGGATTTAAAGATACTTTTATTAATTACACTAGAAAAATTAATTAGTTAATTTGATGTAGGAAAATTCAAGTTTACTTTAAATAGTTAGATTACTTGGTGCGCGTAAGACAGAGTCCATCTGGGTTCACAACCCAATATAGACAAGCCTAGTGCGGAATTTTAACACGCCCCAGTCATATATCTTGGTGATAATTTAGATTGTAAAGACGCTGGCGATTATAATTAATGAGACTTAAAGTATATGGCACTGGGTGGTATTTAATGGTTGGCTGGTGTTGTGTGTGTGTGAGTGTGGGGGGGGGGGCAGTTGTAGGAGGTGGCTGACAGGTGTAGGGGGTTGCCTGTGTTGGGTGTGTGGAGGGGTGCAACCATTAACTGCCACTTAAATAGGTGGGAACGTCCAGGTTGCAGACGTGGGTTATCTGCCATGTTTCCCCTGAATCCCCGCCCTAGTTTGAAGCCTAACAAATTTATTTAGATCATATTTATTGTGTTTTTTATGTATATGATTGCAAATGATGTGTGTTGCAACCTGGGAAAGGGCATTGTTTAGCTAGTGGGACCTCGGCCACTCTAACAGGCTTCAATGATACTAGTACACAGAGACAATACTCACGACATTGAAGGTCCACATCAGTCATGTTCTCGCCGTCTTCAGTGACCCAGTGGAAGGTTTCACTGTCGCAGAAGAGGACCAGAGGGGTGACAACCGTCTCAGAGTGGTAACCCTCAACACAGGTCACGCTCACCTGTGTACGACAAGCTTCTTACTGTATGCTCTAGAACACTTCATGCGCTCTCATGCAACACTTACGATGAGGCTGAGTCACTATACTATATTGACCGAGTATAACTTGCCGTTTATGAAAACATAAATATCAGTTAATCTAGTGGAATAAGTGTAACTGTTAAGAACCTAAAAAGAAAGGAAGAATGCAGTGGACCTATTGGCTTCCGAAAGGCAAGAATACTTCACGTAGGCCTATTGACTCATGCGAGGTAAAAATCCTGCAGTAGGTCTCCTGGGCCATGTGAGGCAGGTCCTATTTACACCCTTTTTCTGCTGTGCCTGTCTATCCTATTTGTTAAAGTTATATATTTAAGTAACTCTACTTGTCAGTTTGTTCCACATGTTTACAACTCAAAATTTATCAAATCTATATCTCTAGCACGGGCTATGGTGAGCCCGTAGTGGACTTACCTGGCACAGGAGCGGTTTTGTTTTAGATTTAGCTACTCAGAACGAAGTGGCCATGTAGCACGGGCTATGGTGAGCCCGTAGGTGATCCTAAGCGCACCTTATGCTTAAATAGTACTGTACCTGAGGTACGCCTTCCTTCGGGACGTACTCATTGCGGCAGGTCTTCCTCCCTTCCGAGTATTCCTCCACCTGATTGGTCACGTTCAACATAGCAGGACACCCCTGTATGTTCCCTGTGGGAGAGTCCTTCTCTGTTACCTGAACATCTTTGTGTTGAGCTTCATGCTTACTGATATCTTAACTCTCCAGTATGTTATCTTGTTATTGTACTTTAATTGTTGATTGCCTTTAAATTTACTAATTTAATTTCCATAAATTTGTTTCGTTCTGAAACTCAAGGGAGAGGACAGAAAAATGAAAATTGTTTGTTATGCGTAGCAAAGTCTTTCCTTGAAGTTCTCCGTCTTATATATATGTATCAAAACCATTATATTTATAGTATTTTCAATAAGTTGATTAATGTGGATCTATCTCTCAATACACGCAGAAACAAGTGGAAATAAAATACATATTAATAATAAATGTCAATACTTTGAGAACATTCTCAACTCACAGGCAAAAACATCTGTGGTCGTTGTTATTAAAGGGATTAAAGAACCATCAGTTTTGGTGACACCGTAGGTAAGGGCGAATTCAACATCATAAGGAGTGTCCTCGTCGAACTGTGGGAAAATGGAGCATGATTCCTGTTATGATTTATACGTGGACTCTAGGTTACTCTGGGTATTATATATACACCCATTATATTGAGTGTCTATATACTATTTTTGCTATGCTGGATAAATGCATCTCTCTAAATGGTTCACACACATAACATAAGACCATGGTAACTGCAGAAGGCCTATTGGCCCATACGAGGCAGCTCCTATCTATAACCACCCAATCCCACTCATATACATGTCCAACCCGCGCTTGAAACAATTGAGGGACCCCACCTCCCTCATAGCAAGCATAGATAGCAAGCTGTATGCAAAATGAAAAGTCAAAGTTTGTTGTTCTAGTTGAATGCTAAAAATATTCTACATTATTTTGAATACTTCATCTAATATTGGCATAAGAGAATTTAGTGATTTTTATATATAATACAATATGCAAAGCTAGCAAGGCCTAAGCAAGCTTATTTTAAGGCAGTAATAGCATACAGAGGCTTCTCTGCTTGTATTGTGTTAATGATGGTAAAGATCCCTTATTTTCCTCCCCTTAGAATGAGAAACATTCTAGTTCTCCTCCCCGTTGGCTTATATAAATGTCGAGTACTCTCATTTCTGGAAACACTACAACTTTTGTTAAATAGTTTCCAGAGTGGGAATTGTTGTGGTCGACATTCGACTTGAGAATGGTCCAGGACGGACCTAAACGTCGTCGTCCCTTCACTTTCTAGTGTGTGGTTTGGTCAACAATGTTGTAGTCATCACTCCTCCCCTTCCCCCCCTCCACACAACACCCCTCCTTGAGTCGACAAGCTATTCCCATGAATCTTGAGAAAATCCATCATCAAGCACAATACTTCGTATAAGAGTAGTGAAGACAATTAAGGCTCTCGTGGGATACTTCCCCAGTACTGAGAAAGAATCCGACTTACTTGAAATAAAACGTTACTGAAGGAGTAAGCGACAGAAGTGTTTGGGTAAATGACTTTGTCCCACTGGCTGTCGGTGACCTCATCGTAGAAGCCGCCCGAGGTCTCAGAGTACAAGCCTGCGTGGGGTGTAGGCTCCGGGAATACAGCGTACAGTCTAGCGGACGTGTCTAATGTGCATGGACTGCCAATAATGTTTTCAAAGCCTTGGCTCATCGTATTAGAAGTCGTGTCTGGAAGGCGGAGGAGGGGAGGGGTGAAACAGTATTATCAGTATTATCTGCAGTGATAACCACTGACATTTTCAACATTAAATATGTGAGAGATCAAATTTTAAATTGTATTACTTAGTCTTGATTAGCACATCATGCATCTACATTAAAAATTGCACCTCCTTTCTTAATTTGGATTAACAGACATATAAATTTATATTTTTTGTTTGTATATTTTATCTTTTTTTAATTTTTGTCAACCTTTGGGGTTTTAATCTGGTTAATTCTTAAATAGATTTTACTTTTTTATATATTTTAATTTGCCCTTTTATGTGGATAATGTGTAATAAGTGAAATGTAACAACTAAGTGTTGGGTCAGGTTTTCTTATTGGTGGGAGTGTCTGGCAACGCTCCTAGTTAGTGGAGCATTTGTTTGACTTGTTTGTCTAAGGAGTTCAGGGACCCAGGTTCCATTCCTTTGTATAAACCCAGGTTCTTTCCTTTGTATAGACCCAGGTTCCATTCCTTTGTATAAACCCAGGTTCTTTCCTTTGTATAGACCCAGGTTCCATTCCTTTGTATAGATCCAGGTTCCATTCCTTTGTATAGACTCAGGTTCTTTCCTTTGTATAGACCCAGGTTCCATTCCCTTGTATAGATCCAGGTTCCATTCCCTTGTATAGACCCAGGTTCCATTCCCTTGTATAGATCCAGGTTCCATTCCCTTGTATAGACCCAGGTTCCATTCCCTTGTATAGATCCAGGTTCCATTCCCTTGTATAGACCCAGGTTCCATTCCCTTGTATAGACAGGTTCCATTCCTTTGTGTAGCCTCAGTATTTGTCTTTTGAACTGAGTAGCTTTTATTGCGGGTGGACAATGTTAGTAGGTGTTTCCGAGTGTTAGTAGCCGAGGTTAGGATCTGAGTGTGTACAAGGATTACTCAAAGCTGGAAGGTTTTGAACAGGAAAGAAACAAAGCCGCAGGGCAGAAAGCCATTGACGCATTCTAGTTTTCACTGGCAGGAAACTTAAATTTTAGAAACTGGAGAAATTAAATGTTGAAGCAGGAGTGTTTTTTAAGTACTTACAGGAGTCTTTTCTCAAACAGTACATTACAAAACAATCCAGGGTAAATAAAATCTTAGACCTAATGTTAACAGGGAAGTTGAACATAAATAAATCTCGTTCGATATTACATGTGGAAATTGTGCAAGTAGCCTAACAGGATCCTGGATTTGCATAAAGCTGATTTTAAGAGATGAAGGCAGGACCTGATGCCTGTATCTTGGGCTACCGTGAACCCTGAGGGTGGGCAAGTGCACTTAAATTATATTAGAAGTGAGAAAGGCCTGTATAAGCTAAAAAACTGTCAAATTAACAGGTCGGCGTCTGACTGCGCAATCCTAATCCAAAATTTGAAATAAAATAGTTCACGATGCTTCAAAAGTATCTGCCCGGTACTCTTTATTTTGTTAATGATTCCTTAGGAAATGTCGTGGTCTGTGAACGGAGATACTCACCAATTATAAGAACTTCCCATTTCTCCGAGTCGGCAGTCTCGCCCGTGGTGGTAGTGACGGAGCAGGAGTAGAAACCTCCAAGGTCATACCGGAGATCTGTGAATTCCAGGTCCCCGTCTTCCCTGCTCACATTAACTACGCCAGACAGACTTCCATTGGCTGTGCAGGGAGAGAGGGAGTAGTGGGTAGAGACCTAGAATAGAGGCAGAAGTGGTTAGCGATGGTTGGAATAGAGATAACAGTAGCTGAAGGTGGTATGGACAGTCCCCCCTAGTCAGTGTACTCTATCACACAGCTCATTACACACGAAAGAGCAATATAACCAACTAACATTTTCCAAGCTCCACTGGAGACCACACGTAGGTGCCGACTGCGTCCTCGCCACTCCACAGCGCCCAGGAGATGAAGTCTACAGTCTCGTCTTCCTGGAGGGTGTATGGGCACTGGATAACGCTGTACTCAGGTGACGGCATCCCGTAGGTGATGTAGGTATAGTTCTGTATCAGGTGTATGGGTCCCACCTGCACGCCCGCCGTCACACCTGTATCCTCGCAAAAAAGGTTTCTTTGTTAAATCCCTTTGAATTGAAAATCAACAACACAAACATTCTTTGAAGTTATCGATGAAGGGTTTTGTATTATATTTCTGTTCTTGTGCAGTTTGATGAATATTACTGTTTATAACACAAGGTGGAAGCTGTCAATAGAAATCATTCATTTTTGAATTACAAGTTCACGCAAATGAAGTTGCTTGAAGTTGTTTATGCAAACAAGTTTGAGATTTCATCGTTGTTTGCGTTACTTTGTTTTTTTCTGTATTTTACCCTTCGATTTAAGCCTAACGTGTATGAATACACTCTGGCTGCTTGTCCCCCGACACAATGAATCATTATATTATTATCAGACCTAATCAAATCATAGCTTTTTGTATTAGTGTTTTCAGGCCTTTGGGAGTCTGATTTCCTATCAGACCTGAATGTTGGAACCTGAATTCATGATAATTTGGGTGCAATGTGTGTCATTATGATAGGTTATTTTTGTGTGAGATACGAAAGAGATTCTAAATCGTTTATTCTGTGTAGTGAATAGATTATTTATAATTGCTATTATGAGGATAGTACTGTCTGTCTTGCAGAAGTTTTCCAGAACTTGGGGAGTAAGTAGTCTTTTGAATGATAGAAAATGACACCCTTCTGTGCTTTTTAGTGTACTGATAGTTTTAATGCAGCTAGTTCTCTTAGTGTAGAGTTCTGTCAGCTGTTGAAGCTGACAATTATAGTCTGCGTAATGTTTTTTCTATAAAACTGTTGACGGTTGCACTGAGGCATCCATGTTGACAGTGCTCGTGAGTCCTGAGGTTGTTGTTAATAGAGGCAATTGCTTCATGTGTGACTACTTTTAGCAGAGTAATATTCTAATTATCTTGACACTGAGAGAGAAGGTCCATCTCACACTCACCAATAATTGCCAAGAGCGGGACGGTGAAGGGGAAGGCAGCCATGACAGATGTGGGCCGCGCCGCCAGGAGTGCTGCACGAGGATGAGGCTGCAGCCAAATATTACTGTTATTAATACCTGGCCTTCAGTCGCACGGGCCCGGAGATAATGGTGCCAGGGGAAATGTTCCCAGGAGTAGGGAAGATAAGAGGGAAGAGAGGAGGCAGTACTAGAAGAGGAGAAGGAAGCAGGGAAATAGAAGAATGAAGAGTAGCAGTTTCCTGAATTCAAAATATTGTACGTATTATGGGGGTTGCAAATGAATGATATTCTCTGCACGAGCGTCTTGTATAACTAGTCTAAGCATACATTTTTAATTTCCGTAAGTGACGAGGACATTCAATAAGTGCAGTACAAAAGTGGTGCGTTGGAACGACTAGCAAACCTTTCTCGCTTCCGTAGACTTAAGTCATATTTTGAAAAATAAACTAGAAAGATAAACATGTTGACATAGAGAGCGTGTACAGAGTTCTCACGGACCAAGAAAATAAAAAACCAGATTACAGTATCTTAGAATTGGTAAGAAATATAATCTTTGGAAAAATATGTATACACACCCACCTGGGCTCTCGGGGAATCGAACCCCCGACAAGTGTATGGATCAACTTTAGGTTCTGTCATATTTGTTATAAGTGTTTGTGTTGACCAGACCACACACTAGAAGGTGAAGGGACGACGACGTTTCGGTCCGTCCTCGACCATTCCCAAGTCGATTGTGGTGTGGTCCAGGACGGACCGAAACGTCGTCGTCCCTTCACCTTCTAGTGTGTGGTCTGGCCAACATACTTTTGCCACGTTATTGTGACTCATCGCCTGCAAGTGTTTGTGAATAAGGAGACAATGAGTGTTACCCAGCCGGCACCGGGGCTCCCTGGAGCCTGGCCGAGGTGACCAGGTGCAAAGGGCGCCCCAGAGCCGGCCACGTGTACACTTCAGCGCTGTCTCAGCACCACCACCAACCCCACTTATCTTGCCCACCAGGATCACCAGGCGGTTTCACACGGTTAAATATAACTCTCACATCAAACGGCCATGACCTGGCAATGACGATGTCTGTGACGCCTGTCTGACCCTCTCACATTTATCAACGCTACTCTGGCGATATACTCGGTCTCGGTTTGCTCCGGGCAGAGTAGGTCACCGGCGGATGCTTTATACACATTATGATTTGCAAAGCGCATTTTTCTGCAATATATTTCACATGTCTGGTGAGGGACAGATTATCATAAATACTCAAATGTACAAACATGTCCTGTTGAACTCCCACAATAGTACGTTTTGTATTATTGAATTACCCCAAATGACACGTTAACAAATTGCAAATATAACCAAAGAAGCTAACCTGTCAATCACTCGTATGATAATATGTGGTATGTTAGGCATAATACACCACATATATGTGTTCAAGTTCAAGTATGTTTATTGAGATAAGAAAGAAATACATCTCAAAGGGATAGAATAGCTTAGGCTATAGAAATACATCTCAAAGGGATAGAGTAGCTTAGGCTATAGAAATACATCTCAAAGGGATAGAGTAGCTTAGGCTATAGAAATACATCTCAAAGGGATAGAATAGCTTAGGCTATAGAAATACATCTCAAAGGGATAGAGTAGCTTAGGCTATTTCTACCCCCCCTCCCAAATATATGTGCTATACTTGACCTAGGAATGTTTAAATTAGGCTTTTGGGATTTTTGCTTTCATGCCGTTGCGGTAAAGTTGCTCTAAGTCCTCTCATTTTAGAGGGACGGGTTGAGATAAGAGTAGTAGTAGTAGGCATCCATCAGTCTCAGGAGACTATGGAGTTGCGCTCTGATGTCGGCCTGGTCTGGAGTGGCCTCTCCAGGGCGCAAAGCCAGAGATAAGAGTAGCAACCCAACATGACCATACATCATAGTACCGCCATAATCATAGACGCTGAAGACCTCCAGACAAAAAAACACTGAAAAATATTACGTGCGAGTCTTCATCAACTGTGAATCCTTATCCAGACAAAAAAACTAACTGAAAAATATTACGTGCGAGTCTTCATCAACTGTGAATCCTTATCCAGACAAAAAAAAAACTAACTGAAAAATATTACGTGCGAGTCTTCATCAACTGTGAATCCTTAGTTTGTGATGAAGTTCTCCCCAGCCACAAACTCTGCAACGTTAGCATAAACCTCATTAAGGTTCTCAACCTCTAATGGTAAGATGCTCTTTTGGAAAATAAGTAAGAATGCAATTTTTCCTTTCATTATTGCAACTTTTCTAAATATTTTGCAGAGGACAAATATTTGTAGGCTGTTCCTGAACATTTAAGGAGCGTTCCCTTAATATTTGTTTATTTTAAATTCTAACAGATAATTTTATAGCAAAGTTTGCTAGAAAAAAAGAAAAGTGTAGCAGGTGTCTTTTCATGTCAGATTGTATGATATCATAAGTTCGTCAGGGGTCGTGTCATGGACTGTGTGATATCATAAGGTCGTCAGGGGTCGTGTCATGGACTGTGTGATATCATAAGGTCGTCAGGGGTCGTGTCATGGACCGTATGATATCATAAGGTCGTCAGGGGTCGTGTCATGGACCGTATGATATCATAAGGTCGTCAGGGGTCGTGTCATGGACTGTGATATCATAAGGTCGTCAGGGGTCGTGTCATGGACCGTATGATATCATAAGGTTGTCAAGGGTCGTGTCATCGACTGTCTGATATCATAAGGTCGTCAGGGGTCGTGTCATGGACCGTATGATATCATAAGGTCGTCAGGGGTCGTGTCATGGACCGTATGATATCATAAGGTCGTCAGGGGTCGTGTCATGGACTGTGATATCATAAGGTCGTCAGGGGTCGTGTCATGGACCGTATGATATCATAAGGTTGTCAGGGGTCGTGTCATCGACTGTCTGATATCATAAGGTCGTCAGGGGTCGTGTCATGGACCGTGTGATATCATAAAGTCGTCAGGGGTCGTGCCATGGACCGTATGATATCATAAGGTCGTCAGGGGTCGTGTCATGGACTGTGATATCATAAGGTCGTCAGGGGTCGTGTCATGGACCGTATGATATCATAAGGTTGTCAGGGGTCGTGTCATCGACTGTCTGATATCATAAGGTCGTCAGGGGTCGTGTCATGGACCGTGTGATATCATAAGGTCGTCAGGGGTCGTGCCATGGACCGTATGATATCATAAGGTCATCACATGTTGCACCACAACTGGTATCAGTTTTACACCCCATGGCTATATTCCTCCGTAAGGGGTTTCTTGATATCCAATCTATCTCCATTAGTTAAAGTCTCCCATTAGCCTGAATGTCTCCCATTAGCGCTCATCATATGCACCATTTCTGCTGCTCTGAGTAATGTCCAAGCTAAGGGAGGGTAATGGAGTGGTTGTAGATATTCACTATCACTTAGTTTTGCTCCTGCTATTATTCCTATGGTCATATCTTCGTATCCATTAGCGGTTACTATATATTACATTCCAGTCTTTCTCTTATTTTGCTAGTGAGATCTCTTGAATGTGTTCTATTTATGCATTGCTTTCTTAAAGATATTCATTATTCATATTTCTCTTGTTCGAGTATCATCAATTACTCGTGTATACAGGGCAGTTAAGTGCTGCATTATTCCCGGTAATAATTCTGATACCTTGAATTCCACTTACAGAAATAATTAACATTACCTATCATGCTAATTTGATCCCACATGCAAGTTAGAATTCAAATTATGACAAATCTGTACATATTAATAGAGGAATGGAAATAATAACTATTACATTCCAGTTATGTTATTTCATCGACAAAATTACGTGCTTCTCCTCCCGTCAATAGGTATAAAAACCAGGTGAATTATTTAGTGTCTGGTTTAACAGGTTAAAAACAGTCTCCCATGGTCCGGTCCCACTCATCACCGTTTTCTCTTATAATTTATTTTATGGCAGGAGGAAGGACCAATAAGTAAGTAATGGCGTAGGAGAAATAATGCACAACTTAGGCAAAAACTCTGCAAGGCCCGTGGATACTCCGTGGATACTCTGCAAGGCCCGTGGATACTCGTGGATACTCTGCAACGACCGTGGATACTCGACAACGACCGTGGATACTCGACAACGCCCGTGGATACTCGACAACGACCGTGGATACTCGACAACGACCGTGGATACTTGACAACGACCGTGGATACTTGACAACGCCCGTGGATACTCAGCAACACCCGTGGATACTCAGCAACACCCGTGGATACTCAGCAACACCCGTGGATACTCGGCAACGACCGTGGATACTTGACAACGACCGTGGATACTCAGCAACACCCGTGGATACTCAGCAACACCCGTGGATACTCAGCAACACCCGTGGATACTCAGCAACACCCGTGGATACTCGGCAACGACCGTGGATACTTGACAACGACCGTGGATACTCAGCAACACCCGTGGATACTCAGCAACACCCGTGGATACTCAGCAACACCCGTGGATACTCAGCAACACCCGTGGATACTCGGCAACGACCGTGGATACTTGACAACGACCGTGGATACTCAGCAACACCCGTGGATACTCAGCAACACCCGTGGATACTCAGCAACACAGGCACCAATAACGAAGCTGGCAGTAAATATCGAAAACTTGCGGAAATATAGAAGAAAAGGTGAAAGTTTGAGAGAGATTAGGAGTCCATTATCTTACCCGCACTGTCAGCGATTTTATCTGCCACTATTTTAGCGGTTCCCCTTGGTGGGGGTGACGACGGCCCTCTGATGCATGGCCGCCTCCGTCCTCCTCTCTGGCACACCCTTCCCTCTCTCTCCCCTCTCTCTCTCTCCTCTCTCACACGCTCTTTCCCCTCTCTCTCTCTCCTCTCTCACAGGCTCTTCCCACTCTCTCCTCTCTCACTGGCTTTTCCCCCTCTCTCTCTCCTCTCTCACAGGCTCTTCCCCCTCTCTCCTCTCTCACAGGCTCTTCCCCCTCTCTCCTCCCTCACAGGCTCTTCCCCCTCTCTCTCTCCTCTCTCACAGGCTCTTCCCCCTCTCTCTCTCCTCTCTCACACGCTCTTTTCCTCTCTCTCACACACACTCTCCCCCCTCTCTCCTGCGCATCTTTTAAGTCTTTTTTTCCCTCTCTCTTCCTCCTTCCTTTCTCTCCTGAAGTCGTCTTGGGGGTCTCTGGAACGTCGTCCCGTTCGGTCTCCAACTGTACGGGGGCGCTGGCCCCCTAATTTGTTCTGTATTCTGTTATAGTTGTTTACTGAGTTGTGTTAGGAGACTGGAATACTTCATGTCCGCTATGGCACCGTGCGAGGGCTCTTGTAATGTTCTTATTGTAATTATTAAGGGAAAAAATTACTTTATTAAGTAATTTAATAAAAATTATTAATGTAATTAAGTAAATTATTAAGTATTAAGTCTACTATAGTTAATGGGCAGGAAAAACAGAAATTTGTACAGGAAGTTTTTTCCAGGTAAGTTGACGACATAGAATGATATAACGTCATCCTGATAATCTATCGGGAATGATATAACGTCATCCTGATAATCTATCGGGAATGATATAACGTCATCCTGATAATCTATCGGGAATGATTTAACGTCATCCTGATAATCTATCGGGAATGATATAACGTCATCCTGATAATCTATCGGGAATGATATAACGTCATCCTGATAATCTATCGGGAATGATATAACGTCATCCTGATAATCTATCGGGAATGATATAACGTCATCCTGATAATCTATCGGGAATGATATAACGTCATCCTGATAATCTATCGGGAATGATATAACGTCATCCTTATAATCTATCGGGAATGATATAACGTCATCCTGATAATCTATCGGGAATGATATAACGTCATCCTGATAATCTATCGGGAATGATATAACGTCATCCTGATAATCTATCGGGAATGATATAACGTCATCCTGATAATCTATCGGGAATGATATAACGTCATCCTGATAATCTATCGGGAATGATATAACGTCATCCTGATAATCTATCGGGAATGATATAACGTCATCCTGATAATCTATCGGGAATGATATAACGTCATCCTGATAATCTATCGGGATTTGGGCACCGCGTTTATTTGTTGTGTTAAGAGTTTACATCTTTAGATATGCAGACGATGAGTCACAATAACGTGGCTGAAGTATGTTGACCAGACCACACACTAGAAGGTGAAGGGACGACGACGTTTCGGTCCGTCCTGGACCATTCTCACAATCGACTTGAGAATGGTGCCAAGACGGACCGAAACGTCGTGGTCGTCCCTTCACCTTCTAGTGTGTGGTCTGGTCAACATCTTCAGATATATGTTGAGGGAATCGTATTGACTCGTTCTACCACCAGTCTCGGTTAATCTTTGCTTTTAACACCAGACAAGCTTAAGATCAGCTATAAATATATGGATATATTATTTAATCAACAAACTCCTACACACACATATAATCTGGGTCCCGACTTGGTGCTGCCTTCTTTTGATAATTACCTGTAGCATTTAATATAATTTTAAAAGACGTGTACACAGTGGAAACTCTACAAGAAGTATACTGGTCTGACGACCATATAATGTAAACAATTTGTGAGTATTTTGGCGGGAAATATGTATAATTGTCCATGGGAATAAACACTTCAGTAAGAGGAAACTATTGTTTATTTTCGTTATAACTTATACAGGCACGTTACAATAAATGGTGATTGTATATCCCCGGCCACCCAAGCTTGGCTGAAATTCTCTCTTGTATAACAAATTATAATTTGACTGGAAGAACTGTTTGCACACATACAAATACATACGCGTATCTCTATGTTACATACACATATGTACATTTAAATGTTTCAGTATTTATACAACACATATACAGCCATATTCGCAGTAACTACAGTCATACAACACATACACACACGTATACAAGGACTGTATATACATTACTGAAATGTATTCTAAAAAAAAAAAAATGAAATGACAAATTTAGATTGCGTATAACGGCTAGAGATGAGGGAAGTGTTGCTTGGAAGTGCTGCTCGAAGGTGTTGCTCGGAGGTGTTGCTTGTAGGTGTTGCCAGGTGTTGTCTGGCGGTGTTGCCTGAAGGTGTTAAGCGCCTGTGGGTAATGTTGCGGGTAGCGGTGTGGAGGCGAGGGCGCCAGCACTCTCCCTCCCCACGACGCCCGGCGCCCCACCCACGCCCCTACACGCCCCCCACACGCCAGCAGCAGGTGCACGCCCACTAGAAGCACGTGCAGGGCGTGGGAGGGGCACGTAGGCGCCCCGTGACTAGCTTGCAGGTCGTGTTGCATAGCGGCCGGCGCCTCTTCTGCAACAATGATGCCTGAGGACATTATCTTATGGCTTCATTATTAGCAGTGTCAAGCGTATATTTACAAGGGTCTGGCGTACACTTATAAGGGTCTGAGGTACACTTACAAGGGTCTGGCGTACACTTACAAGGGTCTGGCGTACACTTACAAGGGTCTGGCGTACACTTATAAGGGTCTGAGGTACACTTATAAGGGTCTGGCGTACACTTACAAGGGTCTGGCGTACACTTACAAGGGTCTGGCGTACACTTATAAGGGTCTGAGGTACACTTACAAGGGTCTGGCGTACACTTATAAGGGTCTGAGGTACACTTACAAGGGTCTGGGGTACACTTACAAGGGTCTGGCGTACACTTACAAGGCTCTGGCGTACACTTATAAGGGTTTGGCGTACACTTACAAGGGGTCTGACGTACACTTACACGTATCTAACTTAAGACAACTTGGCCATGTGACCATTCTTATACCCCACCTGACACAGCATGTATGGCAACTCACCGTCCAAGACGTGTATGGCAACAGAGGCGGGTCTGGCGTTGGCTGGGGCGCAGGTGTAGTTGCCGGCGTCCCTCCAGGTGGCGTGGGTGACCAGTAGCCAGCTGGTGCCAGCGTGTTTGTCGGTCACCAGCTGCACGCCGCCACGACCTCCGGCGTTGATCTCCTCCAACACCGCACTCTTACCTGCGCCAACACACACACACAAATAATAAACACTATACAACATATATTGGCTCATGCAAGGCAAGTTATATAGGTACAGCCCCGCTCCTGTGCCGGGTAAGTCCACTACGGGCTCACCATAGCCCGTGCTACTTGCCCCGCTCCTGTGCCGGGTAAGTCCACTACGGGCTCACCGTAGTCCGTGCTACTTGCCCCGCTCCTGTGCCAGGTAAGGCCACTACGGGCTCACCATAGCCCGTGCTATAGTGTATAATATATATATATATATATATATATATATATATATATATATATATATATATATATATATATATATATATATATATATATATATATACACATATATATATACACACACACAGGTGAAAACGTGACAGCAATGCTAAATTCACTTTGCCAAGAGACACCCGGAAAAAGCACCCATAAAACTAGATTTCCATAAAGTTTGAAGGAGGTAAAGAAGAGAGAGATATGTGTTGGAGACATTGCCTGGGTTGCTATCCTCGTGTGCGGCTCGGAGGGCGTGACCGTCACCAGGTAATATTGGGATTCATTCTAATTCATTGAAGGAGCCAGCCAGCGGAATGTTCTTATAGGCGTGGTACTTTGGTGTGGGAGGGCGCGGTACTCACTCTGGCGTGGGAGGGCGTGGTACCAGGTGACGTGGGAGCCACGGACGTTGCCAGTGACGATACAGGTGATGTTAATGTCACTGCCAGCTTTCATGAACATCTGATGGGTCCCTTGGATCTCCGCACTGGGCACTGCAACATAGTAATCTGTCATTATGGCACTGTAGCCTGGTACTGTCACTGTAGCCTGGCACTGGCACTGTAGCCTGGCACTGGCACCGTAGCCTGGCACTGGCACTGTAGCCTGGCACTGGCACCGTAGCCTGGCACTGGCACCGTAGCCTGGCACTGACACCGTAGCCTGGCACTGGCACCGTAGCCTGGCACTGGCACCGTAGCCTGGCACTGGCACTGTAGCCTGGCACTGACACCGTAGCCTGGCACTGACACTGTAGCCTGGCACTGGCACTGTAGCCTGGCACTGACACTGTAGCCTTGCACTGGCACCGTAGCCTGGCACTGACACCGTAGCCTGGCACTGACACTGTAGCCTGGCACTGGCACCATAGCCTGGCACTGACACCGTAGCCTGGCACTGGCACTGTAGCCTGGCACTGGCACCGTAGCCTGGCACTGGCACCGTAGCCTGGCACTGGCACCGTAGCCTGGCACTGACACCGTAGCCTGGCACTGACACCGTAGCCTGGCACTGACACCGTAGCCTGGCACTGGCACTGTAGCCTGGCACTGGCACCGTAGCCTGGCACTGACACCGTAGCCTGGCACTGACACCGTAGCCTGGCACTGACACTGTAGCCTGGCACTGGCACCATAGCCTGGCACTGGCACCATAGCCTGGCACTGACACCGTAGCCTGGCATTGACACCGTAGCCTGGCACTGACACCGTAGCCTGGCACTGGCACTGTAGCCTGGCACTGGCACCGTAGCCTGGCACCATTACACACTGTATTTGTCATAAGGATGATGTAGGAACTGGCATTATACACAATAAAATAAACCATTGAAATATTAACATTTACCGTTTTTAACCCGTTGTCCCTAATATTTTCAAAAGTATATTGGCGGTAAATTTGTAAAAGATTCGGGTATTTTGATACAAAAAATTTACAAAAAAAAACATGTACCCTTTTTAGGTCGAAAATGTTTGTCTTAATTTAGCTTAAAATCTCAGCGATGTACTTGTCTAAATGCCGATTAAGGATAACGGAATAAGTCATACAATTCTACCAGTTCCACAGCCTGTATGGCGTATGTATGGCATACATACTCCTGTATGGCGTATGTATGGCATACATACTCCTGTATGGCGTATGTATGGCATACATACGCCTGTATGGCGTATGTATGGCATACATACGCCTGTATGGCATCCTGGGCCAAACTCTGACCTTGCCCCAGGATATACAATAAATGCCGACGCTGCTACTGACCAACAACATTGAGAGTGAACCTTCTGAAGATCTTGGGCTGAGTGGACACCTGGCACTCGTACACGCCGGAGTCGGTGACGAGCGGGTCGTCGACCTGAAGCGTCCAGTAGGGCGACCCCACCAGGTGCAAGGCCCTGAAGCGGACGTCTGTCGTGTAGGTGAAGGCGCCGGTGGTCAGCACGTGGAGGTCCCGTCGACGGATCCAGGACACCTGCGGTCCGCCAGGAGACGGAGACGGAGGGGGAGGAAAGGCCAATCTATTATGACTATATAGCACTTGGAAAGGGTGAGGATAAGGGTTTTGGATGGGATGTTGGGAAAGGAATGGTGGCTAACTACTTAGACAGTCGGGGATTGAACGCCGGCCTGCGTGTAGGGAGACCGTCATTCTACCGTCCAGCCCAAGTAGTTGGGCGGAGGGAGGGAGAGAGAGTGCCGGGTGAGTGGCCCTGGGCCGCAGGCGAGGCTGCACCACCCAACAAATGGGAACCTTGCCGAAATAAAAATATATAGCATTTTGTCTCTAACATTTCTATTCTCGGTGTCTTGAAATATAGATCAAGTTTGGCAACATGTTATCCTTAGTAGAAACACACATAAAGGTCCATTAGTAGGCGATAGCATATGATAGAAACTTATATTTTGCAAGTCAAATATAATTAGATGTTAGAATGTTGAATAGCATTGTTGGGTTGAAACTAAAGTTTTAACTTTCCCTTAAATATTTGTTTAGTAAATATCCAGATGTAACGCGGTGTCAAGACTGAGGAGAGAGTCAATGCTGTTGGCACAGTCGAAACTCACCCCCTTGGACCCGAGTTCGATTCCCCGGCAGGTCGAGTTGTTTGGGCATGTTTCATTGCACCTTATGCCTCTGTTCACCTTGTAGTAAACATGTCTCTGTGGCTCATTTGGGTACTCAGCTTCCACCTGTGTCCCCTTGTGCGTGTCCACTTTACCACCCGGGTTAAATAACCCATCCTTGTCTACACTTAATTCCCCTGAGAATTATGTATGTGGTGATCATGTCTCCCCCGAACTCTTCTATCCTGTGTGTGTGTGTGTACTCACCTAGTTGTACTCACCTAGTTGTATTTACGGGGGTTGAGCTCTGGCTCTTTGGTCCCGCCTCTCAACCGTCAATCAACAGGTGTACAGATTCCTGAGCCTACTGGGCTCTATCATATCTACATGTGTGTGTGTGTGTGTGTGTGTGTGTGTGTGTGTGTGTGTGTGTGTGTGTGTGTGCGCGTGTGCGTGCGTGCATGTGCATGCGTACTAACTTTTCCGTGGAAGCCAAAAAGTTAGGTGCAGCGGTGACCAAGAGAAGCTTAATTGGGCCACAGGGGAGAGACCTGTCGCGGCCAGTAATGGGGGGCTGGGTTATGGGGAGATGGCAGCTTGGCAGCTTGGCAGCGCCAGGAAAGCTGCCAGACGGAGCCACTATGTACCTCATATATTTATATATATTTGCAGCTCTTTACCCAGCGTGAGACGTCATGTGGCGTTATCTCCCGCCGAGATAACAGCTTCCCATATGTGTCTGTTTCTGTACCAATATCTCACACACACGCCTATATATATATATATATATATATATATATATATATATATATATATATATATATATATATATATATATATATATATATATATATGTATATATAGTATTCGTGTGTGTGTGTGAAATATCTGTGTGGAAGCCCAATACTGATCGTTTAGCCTTATGAAAAATAGGCAGAGGGAGGGTGGAGGCAGCGCCACCCATCACACGGGAATGGCCACCCAGGTCCTGGTGCCACCCACGACCTGCTGCCACCCAGGTCCTGCTGCTACCCACGACCTGTTGCCTGCCACCCAGGACCTGTTGCCTGCCACCCACGACCTGTTGCCTGCCACCCACGACCTGTTGCCTGCCACCCAGGACCTGTTGCCTGCCACCCACGACCTGTTGCCTGCCACCCACGACCTGTTGCCTGCCACCCACGACCTGTTGCCTGCCACCCACGACCTGTTGCCTGCCACCCAGGACCTGGTGCCACCCAGGACCTGGTGCCACCCAGGACCTGGTGCCACCCAGGACCTGCTGCCACCCACGACCTGCTGCCTGCCACCCAGGACCTGCTGCCACCCAGGACCTGCTGCTACCCACGACCTGCTGCCTGCCACCCAGGACCTGGTGCCACCCAGGACCTGCTGCCACCCACGACCTGCTGCCTGCCACCCAGGACCTGCTGCCACCCAGGACCTGCTGCCACCCAGGACCTGCTGCCACCCAGGACCTGCTGCCACCCAGGACCTGCTGCCATCCAGGGAGAAAGATGACAGAAAGATGTTTATTTGTTTCTAATAACAATGTTGTATATTTGAGGTTTTGTGCAGTGAAGGAAAGTCCTGGTGTTGCTGGCTCTCTCCCTTCCCCCCCCCCCCCTCTCTCTCTCTCTCTCTCTCTCTCTCTCTCTCTCTCTCTCTCTCTCTCTCTCTCTCTCTCTCTCTCTCTCTCTCTCTCTCTCTCTCTCTCTCTCTCTCTCTCTCTCTCCATTTTAGGGTTATTTATACACAAACGTTATTTTAATTTCATTATATCCAAACAGATCGTGTTGGGCTGTGGTTCACTAGCGCCTTGAAGACTTCATAAATCACACATCTTTTCATTCTTTTCCCCCCAAACATTTTACCTACAGCTTCCCAGCAGGATAATTGTGTTAACAATAGTGTCTGTGTGTCAGTGTAGCCCCCTGACCACTGTCATCTACCCGGAGTGTGAACCCGGGGGCGTGTACCCCTGTACCGCACTAGCCAAGCCGGCCCGGGAGATGAACACCATCACATACGTGCCATATCTGCCACACACGTTATCCCACAAGATACCACTGTCTGCGGGCTCACCATAGCCCGTGCTACTTGGAACTTTTTGCTCCAAGTTGCGAATCTTAAACAACAATAACCAACAAGATAATACAAAACATCACACAGGTCTTGAAATATATTCAACTAAGTTCTCTGTTCCTCCTCATGTAACACGGGTTCGAGTTCCTCTCTCTTTACTTCCTTCTTTCTTTGCCCTCTACCCGTATTCTTACTTTTATTTCTAAACCAAGGGACTCCAAAACTTTTAACAAAGCCAACTCCACGCCACGTGGTCCTAAGACGATTGACCGACTTAGGATTCTACACCCAGTATGACGTGACCTAAGCTCTGAACAAAACCCTAGAGTCACCTCTGCTGCCACCACCAGACCAGTAATACAAGAGCAATGATCGAGGTCTGGATCGATCACGCTAATTAATCAACCTTGGGGCTTGATCCCCACTATAAACGATGACCTTGAGTGTGGAATAAATTACACGGTAATGATAATTCCGATTCGATGTTAGAATCGGCGCCCAATACAACTCTGCCTCGTGTGGACCACGTGACCAGGACCAGTTTACACATAAAACACATGGAAATAATGAAATGCAAACATATTAAGAAATTTAATTTATTAAAAGAAAAACTAAAACAAATCTAAAAAGGTTCACTCCCTATCACTTTAACACTCCCTACTTGACCTGAGTGGCAAATGAGACTATTTCTATACTTAACAATAGCAACTATACCTTGGGCGACCAGCTAGATGTTGGGGGCTGGTCTCGGGGAGAGGTAAGATGTTGACCTCTTATCCCAGCTGCTTCCGTGACCACACTGATCTCTCTCTTGTCTGGACTACCCCAGACAGAGTATTGTATCCTTCCGCATCGCTTACCCAGTTACTTTAGCAAGGTTAAGTTATAACAATTAAACTCTGTTGTACTTAATTGATCCAGACTGGTTGAATTATTTTACTGAATTAAATTACAAACATCTAACGGCAGAGCTGTTCCCGATCACAAAAATGGTTATTAAAACTTTGAGAAATAGTAGACCTGTCAACCCCTGATGACCTATGACCGCCGGTCACTCCGCTTTAAAAGTTAGATCTGATTCGTGACGTCACTGATGGTGACTTAAACTCAATAATTAGAATACTCTTGATATTGTACCCAGTACTATTATACAATACAATTTTAATGCAAAATGAATAAAGGCTAATTTTCTCTAAATTACTTGAATACTATAGGATGATTCATTATACGCAGATATGAACAAAGCGTCGGTTATTTCCACCGCGAATTCCCCTGGGGGTCAGGTCACCATGCGGCTCAGCTTCCCATTCTCTTTTGTCGATAAACCACTCTGGATAATTCTTACAACAGCCTAGTTTGTTACACTCAGACCTCATGTCTCTCTCTGCTACCTCTATGATTTCCTCATATGACTGTTAGCCATTCAGGTGCGAGTGGTGTCGTGCGCCAGTGTGATTGGGTAGAATATGATACCTCCGGAGCCAATCAAACGGGAGATTTAACCCTTCAAGATGCATTCCAAGGTGCAGAACACACACTTGGAGATGTATCATAACCTTGCAAGAGACTGATAGTTGCAGGTCAGACACTCCAGCGGGTGCAGGATACCTGTAGGTCGGTCAGGAGGCCTTCCACTGCAGCAGGGAGCAATAACCAAGTTAGATTGCTTTCTTCCATTCCAGGAATTTCCTGGAGCAGTGTACCAGCCGGTTGCGGCCCGCTGGGGTCGTCGGGTCAAGTGGAGTAAAGACCTCTTGTGGCCATTTCTGCTTTTCTTGCAGTGTTAGGCCTACCTCTTGCAGTCATTCTTTCTACCCCACATCCCGTGTAACTGGGAGGAGTCTTGTGGCAAACCTCTCTACCTTTCTCAGGTGTTTTTTTGAGGTGGGGTCCCACGACGGTGTTGCATATTCCAAGATTGCTCTGATGTGGGTGACGTGTTCTGAATGTCTCTCTATGAGGTTCCTGATGGCTGTGTGTGACACACACACACACACACACACACACACACACACACACACACACACACACACACACACACACACACACACACACACACACACACTCTCGTGATTTCAGAGTTGAAAACCTCCGGAAGGAAGAGATGAGACCACAATTACCTCAGCTGGAGATGTGTTGTGAGGGAGCAGAGAGCAAGCGAGAGGAGGTGAGTGAAGGTGAGATCATTACCCACAAGCGGGCGATGGGATGCCACGTGTGGAAGGAGAAAGGTGAACAGAGAGGTGAGGAAGAAGGAATAAATCAAGAAGGAAGCAAGAAAAAGGAAGAAACCCACCACCGTGGGAAGCTGCCTAGCCAAAAGGAGACACAATAAAGGTTATGAAGATTCAGGAAAGTTACATCTAGAACCTTTATACCAAAATAATAAGCAGGAGACGCCCTCCTGCAGGCTTGTATGCGGTCAGGAGTCTGAGGAGCAACAAGTCTCTTGTCCCTTGTGGCCGTGGGTACGGGTACCTCTTGGGTGACGGAGGGGCCCCTCCACTCTTTTTTGGTCCAGATATGCAAATTGTTGCAATAGAGAACGTTGGTGAGGCTACATCTGGAGGCTTCCCCCAGCACCTGCTCCACCCTGCGTGGCTCTCTCCTGGGATATGGTTCCTCACTGCTGGATGTTGAAGCTTCTGATGCTGCTTGATTGTTTAATGTCTGTCTGTGTGTGTGTCTGTGTGTGTGTGTGTGTGTGTCTGTCTGTGTGTCTGTGTGTCTGCCTGTGTGTCTGTGTGTCTGTCTGGGTGTCTGTGTCTATTTTCGCTTCCCCAACCATATCTGGGGATGCAATACTTAATTCTAGTCACCACCTATTATCCCCCGCAAAGTTAACATTATCTTCACCCCCTCACACACACATTCATGTCCGGTCTGTCTGTCCCTCGACCCACCCCACACGTCCGTTCTGTCTGTCCCTGGACCCACCCCACACGTCCGTTCTGTCTGTCCCTC